AGGGATAAATCACGCATGCAAATCGGGCATCAAAGTTGTGAAATGGGCTACAAATGCAGTTAAAAATAAGCAATTCAAAAGTTTAACAAATTGGGGTGGGGGAGGGCACTGAAGACGCTCCTCGCCTGGGGTGCCGTTTGGTCCGTACCTGCAGATAGTGGGGGAGCAGAATGTGGGCAGCAGCGTCAGCAGATGTTACTGAGCATGCTCAGTTGGTGTGAGCATGCTCAGTACAAGCCAAGCAGCACCTTGCGGGGGAGGGGCACATACCCCCCCCCCCCCCATGTGTTGCCTCTGCTAGCCACGCTGTAAAAGATGCCCTCAGTGGCATGTAAAAATGAGCGCCAGGCCAAACGCAAGCACCCATTATTTGCAGACACGTCCCCAGAGCGTGAACCGCCATTTGTCTGGGTTTTGGTGAGCATCTGTGCAGCCAGACTTTGTTTGCACACCCAGTCTCAGCTCCGACAAAACCATCTATTTCCTCGAATAGCTAAAGCTTTGCACAGGGTCAGGGCTGACAGAGCGGGAGTTCATCATTGTTACAGCTTGGAATTGGCTTGCTCTGGAGTGTTTCATGAAAGGGGTCTCTCCAATGGCCATCCTGCTGATTGACAGCTCTGCCTTTGTTCCAGTGAGTGAAGGAATCTCCTCACCGTCAGGTCTAGTTCTATGGCAATAATCCCTAGTTCTTATAATAACAGCAATATCACCACCACTTAATGGTCCTGTTTAGTGCTTTCCAACTGGAGATCTCACAGCAGTCTGCAAAAGGAAGATAATGATGATGATACCAGGCTGTTCTAGCTCGTGCACTTCTTCGGTAGATCTCAAAGCATTTTACAAAAGAAGTCAGTATCATTATCCCCATTTTTTTTACAAATGGGGAAACTGAGGCACAACGCAGAAAATAACTTGCCCAACGTTGCCAGCAAAGCAGTGGCGGAGCTGGGACTTGAACCCATTGTACCAGATGTGGCAATTTCCTGCAATATCCTTGAAAAACCCTTATTGAGTTAAGTTGAAACATTTTAGGGGTCCGTTGTATTTAATGCAAAGGTTATGTATTATTGTGGGCGAGGATTATGTGTCTTTTTATGGGGGAGAGGTGATGTGAACCCAGGGAAGTGTTATGAACTTCAAAAGATTGTACTGAACAATGGGCCAGACAACAATGGACTTTTGGGACACTGTCAAGTGATTTGCCTGGGGAATCTCTAGGGGGAGGTGAATGCAAATTTTCCACCTCCTGTTAAGCAAAGCCAACCCCTTTCAGAACGAGGCCTGGAGAAGAGGACCATAGCCTGATGATTACTTGTTCCCAAAGGCTCAAGATCAGAAACCAACCTGTACAAAGTAAAAACTGAGCTATTCATGGGGGTGCTAGTTCTGAGCTAAAGCTGGCATGAACTGACCGCAGAAAACCCCCTTTGTGGGGTTTGAAGGACTGACTCCTATCAGAGCCCTTGTTGGAGATGGGGTGATCTCGTGAGCATATGTGTAGGTTCTTTTGTTTTAATATATTTTCTCTGTAATGCTTTCACCTTAAGAATAAATATGCTTGCTTAGAAAGAGCTCTGTGATAAGCTGTGACTGCTGGCAATTACACTGTTCAGAGCCTTCTGAGAGAAAGCAAAGCACAAACACTGGCCTCGCTATCAGTCTGACTTGGTGGGAATATCACACTGCCGCCTGGAAAATACTCAGGTAAGGAGGGAGAAACAGGTCTCACTCAAGAGAGGTGATGGCTGGGGAGTCTGAAGCCTAGAGTGGGTGCCCTTGCTGGACCATGGAGATGCAAGTGAAGTTAGGGTGACCAGATGTCCCGATTTTATAGGGACAGTCCTGATATTTAGGGCTTTTTCTTATATAGGCTTCTATTACCCCCCATCTCCATTCTGATTCTTCACACTTGCTGTCTGGTCAACCTAGGTGCAGTTGACCTAATCTGTGACACCCTGGTCTCCTGAATCCCAGTGCAGTGCTCTATCCACTGGACCTCATCACCTCCTTTTCCCAGCTAAAAAAAATTCTTTTTCCAACATGAAATCAGCAGTTTTTGGTAGAGCTGGTGGGAATTTTTGAACCTCTCTTGTGCCCCACAAATTAATTCTATTACATTTAGGACTGATGTGTTTTCCTCAACCCGCTTTCAAGTTGGTCTCAGGTGCTGTGGAGTAGATCCCAAGAGTTTGAAAGTTTAGCTTCATGTGGTTTTTCTAATATCCCAAGGACTCAGACAGCCTTTTCCTCTGAACCAACACGTCAAAGGCACTTACACTTCAGCTGGTTTTCTTCTTGTCTTGCAATTAATACATTTTTAATAAAGCTCAGGCTCCAGTTTCCTTTCATGTTACAGAGAGGATATCCTTTTCCTGTTAAGCTGCACAAGGATTTTTCCCCAAAGTAATAATCTCTAGTGTCCTGTAAACAGGTTAGATGAACGTATTAGCCAAACAACAAGGCACTGGTCGCTGATGCTTTAATTGAAGCACAGGTGACTAGCTACGTTGTTTGCTAGCCCTTACATAGCTGTCTCAACTGTGTGAAATGGCAGCCCTACAATAACATTTGATATTTATTTGTTAGTAGATAGCAAGATTGACCATGCATTGGCTTTTGATGGTATAATGACAACACTGGTTTTGTAGCTTAAGCTCCAATTTAGGTTTTGTAAAAATATTTTTAGAAGTTTACATTTCATATTTAGAGACATTTAAAAACAAAAGATGACAAAGTTAAAACAAAGTCAAATCACACTGAGACAACCTAAGTAGTGCAGTAACTCCTCACTTAAAGTCGTCCCAGTTAACCCTGTTTCCTTGTTATGTAGTTGATCAATTAAGGAACATGCTCATTTAAAGTTGTGCAATGCTCCCTTATAACGTCATTTGGAAGCTGCCTGCTTTGTCCACTGCTTGCAGGAAGAGCAGCCCGTTGCAGCTAGCTGGTGGGGGTTTGGAACCAGGGTGGACCAGCAGCCCCCCCATCAGCTCCCCACTCCCCTAAGTTCCCTGTGCGGCAGCCACACAGCAGGCTACCAATTGCCAGCAGTTCAGCTGTCCCTCTCCCCACTGCCACATGCTGCTCCTGCCCTCTGCCTTGGAGCTGCTCCCAGGAGCCTCCTGCTTGCTGTGCGGGAGAGGAGGGGGGGAGAAGGGGGCTAATGTCAGGGTGTCCCCCTCCCCCCTGCTCCTGCACCCCGCTTACCCCACCTTCCATAGAGCAGGGGGGACACACGACAGGGCTCAGGACGGAGGGAGCTTCTTGGCAGCAGCTGCTGTCTCAGCTTGCTGATCTACTTAAAAAGGCAGTGTACTTAGAGAGTGGGGTCAGCGTACTTAAAGGAGCAATGCTCATCTCTCTCACACACACACACACACACACACACACAGGGTGTGTCTCTGTCTCTCTCTGCCATGCTGTCTCCTCTCCCTCCATTCGTGCTGCCTTGTAGAGTGTGAGCCTACATTAACAACGAGTTAACCCTTGAGGGCTCAGCCAATTGCTAGTTCATCATTTAGCAGCAAGGTATTTGCTGGGAAAAATCCCACCCTCTGACTTCACCACCTCAACCAAGCTTCACAATCATCATCGCTGTGTACCAGTATTAAATTGTTTGTTTAAAACTTATACTGTGTGTGTGTGTGTGTATATAATATTGTCTTTTGTCTGGTGAAAAAAATGTCCCTGGAACCTAACCCCCCACTATTTACATTAATTCTTATGAGGAAATTGGATTCACTTAACATCGTTTCGCTTAAAGTCACATTTTCCAGGAACATAACTACAACATTAAGCACAGGGCAGTTCAGCAAAGTTACTAATGTGTGTGTGATTTGTTCCATCAAGCTAGATGAGCATTAATGGTAGGAGGTATGAAATACATTTGGCTCAGAAACCAATTTAATTGCTTGGAAGACCGAAGTGAACACAGTTAAACAATTTTTAAAAAGTTATTCTACAATTAAGAGTCACTTAACTGATTCAACTCTGTACAGGCATGCAAGATTTCAGAAGCTCAATGCAACCTCTGAGATCTATAATGGAATGACCATCAGGCGTTTTACCATACAATTCCTCACAAGTGCTACTATATAAAATAGATAAGGTATGGCTGGTTGGTCATTCATTTCAATAGGCCATTGTAATTGATTGATTATTACTAAGGAACATGTTTTCACAGGAAATATTTTCTAAGGCTAAACAATGTTTGATGAGGTGTGATACAGCAGAACCTCAGAGTTACAAACACCTCGGGAATGGAGGTTGTTCGTAACTCTGAACAACTTTCAAAAGTTTACAACTGAACATTGACTTAATACAGCTTTGAAATGTCTAAGCAGAAGAAAAATGCTGCTTTTAACCATCTTAATTTAAATGAAACAAGATAGAAACAGTTTCCTTACCTTGTCAAAAATGTGTTTTAAACTTTCCCTTTATTTTTTACACAGTACTGTTCTGTACAGTATTTGCTTTTTGGGGGGGGGGGGGGGGGGGGGGGGTTTTTGCTGCCTGATTGCATACTTTCAGTTCCAAATGAGGTGTGTGGTTGACCGGTCAGTTCATAACTCTGGTGTTCTACTGTAATAAGTTATGAAAACATATGTTGTAGCAGCTACTTTTGCATTATGAACACTGGTTTGTCTTTCCTATGTGTTGTTTCCATAGAAGCGGAGCTTAACCTTTTAAGTGAAGATTATAAAGACACCTAATTCAATTAAAATTAGACTTCAAGCATATCAGCACTTAATTCTTATGAGATTTCATATTGCTATTTTTCTGATTGGCAGGCAAAATAGTTCAAAATTCAGATAGTTGGGGAAATCTTATTGCTATGGGTTTTTTTATAAGCTTCCCTGCAAATGCCATTTTTTTTATACAAGGCTGTTAAAATGTTAATAAAAATCTTTGAATTACCAGGTACCCCCTTCTGAAATATGGGCATCTAGTACATAACACAGAAGACACATGTTCAATTAAAGTAATTTATTGTGGGTTTTTCTTTTCTGAACTAACAAAGAGGGTTTTCCCAGAGATTGGTAACACAACACAACGTTATACACCATTTCACAACTAGCCCCTTGTTGTTTTATTAAGAACATAGTAATTTAAAAATATCTAAATATTTACATATTAATAAAACATATATACATAAGATTGAGATGCTTTACCTAAACATGGAATGATTTTTCTAATAAACCCTATAAAAAGATGGCTGAAGAAAGTCTGAACAGAAGTCACAGTAAGTAAACACAAAATGCAATTTTTTAAAATTTACAAAATGTTGATTCCATCAGTTAAGGGTTGTGACATGAGCCTGGCAGATTTGCTGCACAGGCTGTAGATTGCCACAGCCCTGCTCAGAAATCCAGACCCTGGGGGAAGCAGTCACATCAGCCTTTGAAGGAAATGCTCTTTAAGGTCTGCAGTGCACATTCGATATAGTCCACAGTTTTAAAGAGAACATCACCACCTTTAATAGTACATGTTTTTTTAAAGAGGAGGGGAAAGCTCAAAAGCCTGATTTTCAATGGTGCTGAGAATCAGGAGCTCCTGTTGGCTTCAGTGTTATTTGCGGGCATTTCAGCAGTTGTGACAATCAGGCCGCCGGTCTTTATGCTAGTTAATGATCATGACAAATATTTGTAAAAAGCAGCAAAAAACTTTAAATATTTTGAAAACAGGCCCACTCTCTGTAATAGCACTTCTGTTAAAACACTCGATAAAAAAGACCAAATAGTTTCAAGGAGAAAGCATCGTGATGGGCTGAAAATATACAAAGGAAAACAAAACACGATGGCAAAGGCTACTGCACTCTGTAGCGTTCCAGGAAACACACACTATTAGTTAACTGGCTGGTGATCAATATATCTGTGGGATAAGATACTTTCTATATTTTTTCTCTCTATTTTTTTTAAAGTGAATTTAGTGCTGGTGAAGGTGCAGAGTTAAAGGTGCAGAGGGCAGCAGGAGATGTGGCATAAGAAGCAGCAGTGCAACTTTCCCCACCCTGCCACATCAGTAAGCCTCAGTCCTGACCTGAAGGGACCACTTACAGGGTGAGAGGGTAATTCAATCTCTTGGTCAATTCACTCATCCTAACTGCTGAGACTCTCAATAGAGTGCTAGTAATGACGGTGGTTTGTATAGGTGGACCTATGTCCATAGGTCCATATATGTCCACAAGGGCAGTGGTTTTCAAACCATGGTGTGTGGACCAGCAGAGGTCCATGAACCCTTTCCCTGATGGTCTACAAAATAAAATGTTTTGAGAACCAGGCAGTGGGGGATTCTGAGAGGCTGCGGAGGAGGTGGGGCAGGATGATTTTATGAAGTGAAAATGCTGGAGAACCACTGCACCAGAAACTGGCTGGGAACTCCAACTCATTTCACAAATACATTCTGTATACCATCCACTAGGAAACAGACATTATCAGCATGTACCCTGCTCTATGGCCAAATACAGTGTGTGCCATGTTATTTAGACAGTGTAGGACAGGCAGTTTGTACCATCTCTCTTCAAACATAGTCAAATAGTGAGCAAAAAGGAAAAGTGAGTCTTCCGAACAAAAGAGGACTAACCAATCCCCCTAACCAAACATTCTTATTAGCTTCCTGGGCCCATGAAAGGGGGAGATTCCATCACCACTCCCTGAACTGTTTATTTTACTTCTGTGTAATTGAAGATGAAATACAGTTAGCATGCATACAGTCACGTGGGAAAATACAATCAGGAAGAAAAACAAAGGCAAGGGAATTTATTCAGTTGCAGTGGATACCACACTAATTAGACAATGTACTGGATATTGAAAAAAAAATCATCTCTAATTATGATGGAAAATCTTGAAACAATTTCGTGGCTTTATTATCCCATGTTTCATTAAAAATAGGTGAAACAACTCAAACTTGAAGGGAAAACTGCACGGAACATCCCCCACCTTGAAGTATGCTGAAATGCTTACACAGATCTTGCAGGAATGTCATTCAAACTGAAGGATGTTTATATCTGCTAATGAAACACTGACGCAGAAAGTAAAATTTAAGCAGAAAAATCTGGTTTTGAGTCGACCAGCTTATCTGTTGTGATCTCAAGAATGCTACCTGAAGAAAGAGAGGATTTAAATAAATTAGAAAAAATAAATTATACCAGTTCAGTCATTTCCTAAAATTGTGTTCCAAATTAACCTACATGAGTTAAATATTTAGAGACTCAAATGTAATACTTGTGAGGTTGCTGAATTATCTGTGTATTCAGATGGCCATTGTTGGGTATCAGTTTAGTTGTCTAAAAAAAGATCCTATTATATACTGAATTTGTGAATAGAGGTTTTGATAGCAAAATGCAGAACACATGAAGTGAGGTGTAAAGTGTTAGAATATCGTACAAACCGCACTACAGTGCTTATATCTTTGAAGTTATATGGCTCTAAAGAGGTGAACAAAGCACCGCATGAATTTTAAGCCTACAGTATATACTTTGGGTTATTCTTTGGAAAACTTGAAAAATCATGATACTGTAAATGCATATGGCAGAATAAAAACCAGAGATAAGTTGCATGATTATATCACATCTTTTTTAAAACCACATTAAAATATATTTTTAAACAGAACAATGGAAGACGGACAGAAGAATTATAACTATAGAAGTAAGAACACAGAGCATATAGGAGACAGACATCAATCAGTGTAAGAGGCAAATACAACAAGATGAAAAGGGAGGACTTGTAGACTCATGCACTGAAAGGATAAAGATTTATATTACAATAAAGGATTTATATTTAAGGTTTTGAAGCGGTTTCTAAGGTATCATTTTCTTCCCATTGTATTCCAAGAGAAAAGGAGGCAGGCCATACAGGATTGGCTCATAGTTATTTTCTTATCATCTGTTTCTTTAGCAAGAGATCTTTTCACAAAGCTGTATCTCCCTGGGACCCAAAGACTGGCATTTGTACTCCTATTAGTGGTCTCAAATTCTTTCACAACTTGAAATTCACTCCAGTGCAGAGGGACTATGCAAACCCTTCAGCACTGCTTAAATCTCTCGCTCGGGGCTTAAAGAGGACCTTGTAGCATCCCTGGACATACACATCCTTAGTGTGTAATGTTTCGGCTAAAGATACATAACCACCAGTGCTGAGGTTGGATTAGATTTGTTCCCGTTTGATATTTTAGGAAAGTGAGTCAGCGTGGCGTTAATCCTCACTAATTCCAAATACGCAGTGTAAATCACAGACCAGGATCCGAACTCTTTTGTCATAGCCATTATTCCTTAAGTAGGAAAGTTAAAGATCCTAATGGGGTGCCATATATTCACTCTGCTAAATGTTTATCCACCATCTACCTTGGTCTCCACACCACCAATCAGGGTAACTGGCTGCCTGGTCTCCCTCAAGACAGGGCCCTACAGTTTGGATTTTGGCAGGTCCTAGGCAGTCTTTTGCCTACGCTGAAGTGAATATGGGATTGTAACTCTACCAATACTTTCTAAGGGACCCTAATCACAAAGTTTGAAACAAAACCCAAGTTTTTAATAAGTTAAAATTTAACAGCCATAATTCTTCCAGTTCACTTTAAAGGTCTCCCAATTCACTGAATCCTTTAAGCAGAAGGGAATAATTAGCATCAAAGATACTTTTTAACCACAACACCATTTGTGCTCCTAAACACACAAATATGGCTAGGCAAAAAATCCTTCCTTGGTTTTAGGATTTAAAAATAATGAAAAATAATGAAACCTTTGGATGTCATATGTTTTCCTGTGTTAAGATACTAAGTCCAGGATTTCCTTAACTGTAAGCACAAAGGCTGAGGAATCTAAACCCCTTTGTATACTGGGATTCCTCAGCCTGTATCCCCCATGTTCAGATTTTTTTAATTTTTTCCGCAGGGAAAAAGGAAGGGGTGAACGGGCACCTCTGAGTCATCCCTCTATGCAGTTTAAAAGATTTGTTCATGTTTATCCAAACTTTATTCAATTCACTTGCTCTGGACTCTCTTGCTTCCCAATTTTGTCCAGTTCTTGGATACCCAGGTAATAAGTGTTTTAAATATACACACCATAAATCGATTCAGCATCCCATTCTTGCTCCCAGTCCCACTTCCTGCAGTACTCCCTTCAAGTAATCCCATTCAAACTCTGTGTCAAAGGTTGTCTCTACATCATGGAAGACTAACATAATCCATTTGCCCTTGACCATTACTGATTTATTATTTATCTTATGGCACTGCCTGAGGGGCCCCTCGCCCCCAGAGATCAAAGCCCCATTGTGCAGGGCACTGAACACACACACAGTACGGGAGCGCCTCTTTCCCAGAGAGCTTGCAATTTAAACACACAAGCCAGCTGAATAGATCACATCTGAAACTCTCCTTAAATGATCCACCAGTGACATCCCTGCAAAAACCAGCTATTGTACAAGGGAATCTAATCTACAGGTGAGGATCGCTATAAAGGTTATATCTACCTCCTTTACCAGCCTCCTTGATGGAAGGCGTCTATTTTGGCTCCCTACGTCAGTAACCTTTATTATAATTACCATAATTATATTGACTGTATATCACTTAAAATGATTTAGTCCCAAGAATGGTAGAATATTAACTATTGATACATTCTATAAAGAGTCACTTGTACATATATAATAATGTGTGTAATTCAAACGCTTGGCTGAAAGCCTTTGGAGTTCACCTTTTTTCCACACGCACAATCGGAAAAAGAAAATGACTATTGCACTGTCAATTTAGGCATCCTCCCACAGATTCCAGGGAGATCTATATACTGCAAGACAAATATTAAGCCTTAGAATTGTGCACACATGCATATTCAAGGGTACATGGGCACACATTCAAAAATACACGCTGGAAATCTTGCAGAAAAGAGAACAGGATTCCCAGGATGGAAATCTTGTCCCTTTACTAATGTGGCTGTCTCAATGCATCACATTCATTTTCACCAATAATGTAAGATGTGAAATACTAAAGAAACTACATTAGGCTCCAATAAAATAATTCTGGTACTGAATAAAATTACTAGAGCAATGAAAAGATAACACTGCATAACAACGTAACATTTATCAGGGTTCTCCTTTACTAGAATTGCTTCCATCCCTGATAACAGAAACAAACAGGATGTCACTTGAAAGAGACCTTCAAAACCAGAGCTTCCTGCATCTGTTATCAAATTAGTACCATGAAATGCTCAATGGGTAGCTAAGAAAGCAGCACTGCAGCTCCTATCAGTTACCATGTGCTCCCAGCCCCTCATGAACAAGATTATAGCTGCTTCACTGGTCCTACTCCTGAGTAACTCCACATAGTCTGACAACAGGATTTCAACCACCAGTGCCTCACTGCTAGCAGCTCATGCTCCAACCCATAGCACCTCCGCACTGAGGATGTCTGAAGACCCATCACAAGCCTTATGTAAGAGTAATTGGGAAGATAGTCTGCTGGGACAAATGTTGCAATACTGCTCTCATGACCACCACAGAGCGTTTGTAGGGTACATTACAGCACTGTGGGGAGCTGCTGTCAAAGTACTACCCTGGATATAGCAAACTGCTAGCAGTAAACAGCCTACACTTATTCTTTGCAGATGTTGCGTGACTAATTTCCAAGGAATCTTTTTCATTAAGTATTAATTATATTGTACTGATCTGAGAGAGAAACTGTAAACCCAAGGTCCTGATCATTCAAGATTTTTACCACATTTTTCTCAGGTCTAGAGATATTAAACTGCAACTTGGTGACATTTTAAATGCAGGTAATTACCATCTATACAGTCAAGATTTTCAAAAGTGATTAGTTATTCTGGATGCCCAACTTGGAACACATGATTTTCAGAGGTTATGTGCTCGGCACTTTCTAACAATCAGGTCCTGGTAGGGTATCTCAAGTTCAGCACTCCAAAAAAAATCACTAAAAAAATCTTAGCCTACCTACTTAAATTCCAACTAGAAGTTTCAATTGCACATGGAAATCTTCATCAGTTCCTGCCCTAGACTGTTGCACAGTACTAAAGTTTGCTGTTAAACAACTGCCATGTTTGACTCGAGGGTGGGTGCATTTTAAGGGAATGGGGGGGGGAAGGGGGGAAGAGAGGGGTTAAAAGTGATCTTCCATATCAGATAAAGAGCTTTGCAATCCCTTTGTAAACCCAATATATTATTGCTAATAGTACACCAATGCAGAACTGAAACACATTATGATACAAATTACTGTGCCAGTCCTTGGAAGTGATGTGGTGTCAAGAATTTTCAAAGTACCCAGAAATATCATGAATGAGCACAAGTTGCCATCTGGAGTCATGAAGATCACTTACTGGTTTGTGTCATTTAGCCATTACTGTCAAACTGGAGGTTTTATGAATAGGAAATCAAGGGGAAAATAGTGAAATTCTGGTGCATGTTCTCTCTCTCTCTTTTTTTTTTTAAACACAAGGCATTCAAAACGTAGACATCTGGGCCTTGTGTGCAGATTACCCAAACTGTATATGCCAGGAATCGGCAACCTTTGGCACGCGGCCCACCAGGGAAAGCCCCTAGCGGGCCGGGCCGGGCTGGTTTGTTTACCTGCAGCGTCCGCAGGGTCGTTCGATCGCAGCACCCACTGGCCGCGGTTCGCCGTTCCAGGCCAACGGGGGCTGCGGGAAGCGGCGCGGGCCGAGGGATGTGCTGGCTGCTGCTTCCTGCAGCCCCCATTGGCCTGGGATGGCGGACTGCGGCCAGTGGGAGCTGCGATCAGCCGAACCTGCGGACGCAGCAGGTAAACAAACCGTCCCGGCCCGCCATGGGCTTTCCCTGGCAGGCTGCGTGCCAAAGGTTGCCGATCCCTGGTATATGACATACCTAGAATATTGAAATCTGCTTTATGCAAAACAAATAAATAAATAAAGAATTGGTACCTGATAAAAACTTAATGCATTTTACCTGTTTGCAGTAGAGAAATGTCCAGTTTCTCATCGCAGTCAGTCGTCTCTGCTGATTACAAATATAAACAAGAAATCTCATTACTTTTACTGAATACAGGAATAGGATTAAAAAGCTACATACTGTAGAGTGCTTTTGCCATTCTCTATCTACTCTTCTCAGCTGCAATTTGCTAGCATCCAGTTAAACAGTCACTGCTTGTGCGAAAATGTCATATAATAAAAATGCAAACTTAGGAAAGGTAGTCTGGGTATTAATCCGTGGTTATGCTGGGCATTGGATTGGAGTAATACACTACTCCCTTGAAGAACTCAAACTCCTGCTGATATAGGACGCTTACAATAATTTTGTAACTTTTACTTAACAGCTGCCATCCCAGATCAGACCAGTGGTAACACTGAGGCTGGTATTCAGTCTCCAATGGTGGCCAGTATCAGATGCTTCACAGGAAGGTGCAAGAATCCCAAAATGTGACCATTATGTAACAGCCTGCCCAAAAGGGATTTTTCCCCCCTAATCCTAATCAGTTTGGGCCAGATTTACAAAAGGATTTAGGCACCTAAAAATGCAGACTGGAACCTAGCTGGGTAGATTAGGCATCTAATTCACATTGAAAGTCAATGGGAGTTAGGTGTCAAATTCACTTGTGCACTTTTGTAAAACCCAGTAGGTCCTTATCAGCATCTTTAGGCACCTAAATCCCTTTGTAAATCTGGCCCTTAGTTGCTGGTTTATGTCCTGAAGAATGAGAATTTACAAGACTGATCAAAAGCCCACTGAAGCCAAAGAGAGTCTTCTCAGTGACTTCAGTGGGCTAAGGATCAGGCTGTATACCCCTATCTAATGTAACTTCAGATGTTCTCATTACACACACAAATTTCTACATCTTTTTTTGAACACTGCTAAGATTTTGATCTCTAGTGGCAAGAAGAGTAAACAGGAGTACCAATACACTATCTCTGTACTACTATTTCATGCATCACTCCTTATATATTTATATTTTTTTTCAAAGAGGATCATGGTCATAAACCAATGGGTACATTCCCACTGTAATGTGCCCCCGTCTTCGCAGATGTCAAAAACTGGCCAAAGTAATACAGATATATTGAACAACCAAAATCAGTGCACGTCCTTAACTGGGTTGTTTGTGCTGATTACCCTTAACAGTGTTGTCAAACAGCACCAAACTCATTGAAAACAAGGATTAGTTTATTTTTTAAATAGCGGAAGGTCTTAAAGCACTATGACCTGCTCAGAGCCAACATTAAACAGCCTTTTTCAGAGCCCTCATCCAGTGAGCTCCCTTGGCTCCCAACAGAAGATGTTTCAGATGATTATTGGGGAAGCAGGTCAAGCTAAGTTCAAGTTCACAAATAAGCAATAAACACCTTGACCCTACAAATGCTGAGGCAGATCACCCTTCCACATTCCATTCTAAACAGGAAAATGTGGTTTGCTTTCAAACACCACGCCCATCAGCCATGAGCCAAACTGTACTTGTCTCGACTTCAATGGGCCTACCTGCATGACAAGGCAAGCAAGATTGGAATTTTGAAACTCTCTTGTATTCTTTGTTTAGAAAGAGTTTGGTAACTGCGGTAAACACTCCTGTAGCCACGTCCTTCAGACCTTTTTCCAAAATCACTTTGCTGCTGCGGAATGTGCCTGTCTGGCAAATGTGCACCTGCTATTTTGCTGCTTGCACAGAAGCATGTACGTGCAGGAATGAAGAGGTTAATAGAGAGGTTGCCCTTATTAGTTCTGCTGTCGTTATTCTCCTGAATCTAGATAAAATACTGGCCAGGAAAGCATAATGTTACTCCTGTGATTCCCATCCAACATAATATCTGCCCTTGTGTCTGCTGCTAAACATAAATCAGCACTAGCCAGAATCTGCTATCTCACAAGACACATATGCCTTGTGTATTAATTACATCATGAAGAGAGGACCAGAGAAAGCAGAGGACTGAGAGGAGGGGCAAAGCCACAAACAGAGGGGAAAAGAATACCACAAGAGACATAGGAAGATGTGGTAATGATGGAGTGGAGGTCTCAACACATGGGTGAGACAGCACAGTCCAGCAAGGATTTAATATAAGTTTTTCTCCTCTCGCCCCCAGCATTTTCCATTGTAATCAGGCAGTGTTCAAAATAAACAACAGTACAATGATGCAACTACTATCATCATGTCAGGTGACTACTTCACACCAATCAGACCTGAAAAGACTGAGCACATTTCATAGTGCTGCTTCATTTTCCTTTATTATGTGTGGTATTTAAAGGCTTTTGAGTTACACACAGTAAAATCATATTGCATGAAGAACTCTTTCTCACTCTGTGCTTTAGGAGCATTTAGTCATACTGTACCAGCATTCCTGTCTATATGGAGGCTTTTAGCAACATACTGCCATTAAAGAATAATGGCTCATAACCTTTTCAAGACTTGAAAAGGGAGGGAGGACTTATCACAAGAGATGTGTGGCTCATGCCCCATTTTTTATTATTGGAGACAGAGTTGAATAGCCAGAAGGTTTGGATACTAGTTTTGGATGCAGAGATGATGACAACAGCAGGGCTGTTTCCTGCTGAGACTAGCCCATTCATGGCCCTCCTTAAATCACTGTGCCAACGGCTGTGTCTCTGGATGTGTTGTCGCTGGCTGGTCCACTGGCCACCTACCCATATTCCCATGGCAAGTCTACACAATGGGAGCTACTGCTGGTCAGGGCAGCTGTAAATCACAATGCAATTTGCATTGTAATTTATCCTGTTCTAAAAAGGGAAATGTATACATCTGATTTTTCCTCAACTTCATGTCCCTGGCCATACTCCCTCCCTCCCCAGCAGTTGCAGGGAGCTGAGCCTAGACGTTATGGAAGGGATAGAATTGGCAATATGATCCAGTGCCCCAGAATGCATACAAACATGTGGATTTTTTTTGGCCGTGCCAATTGCATGAAGTGGGACCAATAGTCAAAGGTGAAGAATATTATCATGCTATTTTATTTTAATTATAACATCTATTTGTAATGTTAACCTCACAGTCTTTTTTCCTCCCTTGTGACAGCCAACTTGTGAAATTTTGAAAAGACTGAACAAGGCCAATAAAAATTTAATGGCAAAGACAGCTTTATTCTCAGATCTAGCAAATTAAAAGAAAAAACCCAAGTCTCAGATCTAAGGCAATAATCTAATGGAACAGAGAAAAATCCAAAGCAAAAATAAGACTATTTCCAGTTATGAAAAAATGTTATTGCTGATGCTAACCTGAAATTAATTTCTATTTGTATTAGGATAACAACCTTTCAAACCCTACCCGGGGAAGTTTTTTCTAGAGAGTGAGCAGGGTTTTTTTAAAAGCAGTTTGTTGATTAGCCTTCCCAGTCAGAGACTATTCTGTACCTAATTCTAGGAAATGAGCCAAATATGATAAATAAGGTTGAAGCTGGACAACATCGAGGATCCTGTGATCAGAATATCATTTAATTTGAAAATACTCAAGAGGGTAAATACTAAAGAAAGCAGCACTGAAGGCAGATCCTCCCCATTCATTTGCTGGAGTTCTCAAGCTATTACTGCCACAGATGGCTAGGGGAATACACTGGCGTTTACACCATTAGTGTATCGAATTATCAAACCACAGGATTCAGCATGGAAGATTACTCATGAACATAATTTGTCATCATTTGGACATGCAAATAGCTACTTGGCCTAAATAGAAAACCCAGTCAGAGGGTGGACTGAATGCATCAGAGGATTGGTAATGGAATAGAGAGCCTTTCCCTTCCAAGCCAGCAGTTCAAATTCAGCCCAACTCAGTAGGGGCCAAACGGCTTTTGGTGGCATTTGTGAAAAACAACAGTGGTCTCAAGCCTGTCCACACATAGTTTGTGCACCAGCTTAGCTAGAAATTGAATTAGTGAAATTCGTGCAACCCACCAGTGTGGACACACTTATATCAGTTTAATAAAGTCTTAAACCAGTTTAGCTTAACTCAATTGCAAATAAGATCTTTAGGTACCTTGGAACTTAGGGTACGTCTCCATGGGGAGGTATTCCAGAATCAGAGCACCCATATATGGAGTTAATCAGGAACAGCTGTTCTTTAATTACACACACTACCTCAATTTGAATCAATTTTTCTATGTAGACAACCCCTCAGGCCTGATCTACACTGATCTTACTATTTCAGCAAAGGGTGTGATTTTGTATGGAAACAGTTACATGGGTGGGCACAGTTATACCAATAAAAAAGGTGCCTTACAGTTTGTTCCTATACATGTATACAGCTATAACTATAGGGTTGCACTAGTGTAACTAAATCTGTTTCTATAGTTAAAGTACTACAAAAACTGTGTAGACCAGAGCTTAAACTGAATTAAGAGTGTCTGCACTAGAAGTTGCATAAATCAACTTAAAATCAAGTGGGTGAGGTAATATCTTTTATTGGAACAATTTCTGTTGGTGAAAGAACACATGTTGCAAGAAACCAGGGTTTCCTGAACTCCCATTTCTGGCCTTCAAACAACACCCACAGCCTCACTAAACTTACCATCAGAAGTAAGCTACCCACAGCCATATCTCCACTGCTGTGATGATCAATACTTCCCACAACATGCCTTTCAAGATTCATGGACCGACACATGACTATCACAAAGTGGTGTACTTCAGCCAGTGCATCAAATGCACGAACAACAACTACGTGTGTGAATCTAGACAATCACTACACTCTTGAATGAGGTCACAGAGAAAAATGGTAAAAGACAAAAACACCCTATCCCTGCGGGGGTGAACACTTTGTACAAAATGATCGCTCTATATCTGACCTCTCAGTCCTCGTCCTCAAAGGAAAGCTGCACAACACCTTCAAAAGACAAGCCTGGGAGCTTAAATTCATAACTCTGCTAGACACCAAAAATCATGGACTCAACAGAGACACTGTCTCATGACAACAGTTTGTAACCCATTCTCTCTCCTTTGTCTTATGCTGCAAAGATCTTAATTGCCAACTTCATTTTGAACGGTTTCTTGCAACTTGTGTAAACTCCTTATGCTTAACAATCTGTTCCACCTTATATTTAACTGTGCCACTCTGATTACCTTTCCCAGTACTGAAGAATAGCTCTGTGGAGCTCGAAAGCTTGTCTCTTTCACCAACTGAAGTTGGTCCAATTACAGGTATTACCTCATTCACCTTGTCATTCTAATATCCTGGGGCCAACATGGCTACAACAACACCGTAAATTTAAAAATCACACATTTAAGTAAACTGGTGCAAGTGAGGCACACTGAAGTCAATGGGAACTAGTCACCTAAATACCTTTGTGGCTATGGGCCTGAGAATTCAGACCAGACTCCAGTTTGGGTTCTAATTTCAAAGCATCCCCACACAAGCCATTGCCTTTGGTACTAGGTTACCAGTCTATCTTCTCACTCCTGGAGAGTCTAGACTGCTAACCTTGGTCTCTCCAAGGTAGGTGGAGCGTGCGGGAAGCTTGCACGGCCAGCACCAGCCGCATATCTGTGCTCTCTAATAATGAATTTCAGTCTCTGGGTCTGACAAATAGACCAGCACCTTTCCCAGGCACTACATTCATTATGCAAAGTTTTAAAGTAAGAATAAAGAGAACTGGTTTGAAAACATGAAGTTGCATTTTGGAAGCTAGAAAGAAATTAGCCCCAAGGTGCTACAGCTCTGCTCTGAGAACTCTTTTGTTAGCGTGTTCTGCTAGGAAAATTATTACATAGTTCTGTGATGATGTCAAAACTGAGGATGAAGTAAATAATGAAGGAAAAAAAGCAACCACATACGGAAGATGAAATCCTGGCCTCACTGAAGTCAATGGGAGTTTTGCCATTAACTTGAAAGGGACCAGAATTTCACCTCCTGGCCTAGCTCTCCTCTCACTTACTCCACTTCTACTCCATTGGAGTCAGTGGAATTATTCCTGATTTACAAGTGTAAAGATCTATACACAGATTTTAGTTTTAGTACCAGTATGTGTCAATTAAGGGTGTAATTAAAAAAAAAAAAAAGTTTTACCAGCACAACTCCTAGTAAGGACGCAGTTATACCAGTATATATTATTCCCCTCTCCATATGGGAATAGCTAAACTTGTATAAAGCATTGTTATACCAATATAACTGCATCCACACTGGGGAGATAGTGCCACTTCAACTATACTGGTACAACTTGTGTATAGACAATGCCTAAGTGAGAGGACAACCAGATCCAGAGAGATTGGGATGTAGGTGAAGGGCCAGTAGAAAAAACATACATTAAAATATAAGAAACAATATAAAATAGAGTCTTTACAACAATTTAGCTTCTATATACTAATTGGAAAATGGGTCTATGGGTTAATGTATTTCTTTTCATTGTCCACCCATGCACTGGGTTGATCGGTTCCTGTCTCTGGGCAGGCATAGTTAGTACCCCACCTAGTTTAGTATACTGGGCTCAGTTTCACTCATCTTTTCATAGGAAGCCTCTTACTGCTAAGGCTGAGGTGCAGCATTCCCAGTTCGGCTCCCCAATACTGGGGAAAGAGCATAGGTGGGAGTGGGTCCTGGTAGCCCCTCTTTAAAAGAAAACCAGTAAAGTCATTGCTAACTCCCGCAGTAGAGCTGCAGCGCTAGCTACCATCCTGGAGAGGCACACCACAAAAAGCAAATAAGGGCTGGTCTACACTGGGGGGGGGGGATCGATCTAAGATACGCAACTTCAGCTACGCGAATAGCGTAGCTGAAGTCGAAGTATCTTAGATCGAATTACCTGGGGTCCACACGGCGTGGGATCGACAGCCACGGCTCCCCCATCGACTGTGCTACCGCCGCTCGCTCTGGTGGAGTTCCGGAGTCGACGGTGAGCGCGTTCGGGGATCGATATATCGCGTCTTAACGAGACGCGATATATCGATCCTGGATAAATCGATTGCTACCCGCCAATACGGCGGGTAGTGAAGACGTACCCTAAGAATGTTGGAAAAATATTCAAAACAAACTAAATCAAATTAGGTCAATGGAAAAAGCGACAAAGAGTCCTGTGGCACCTTATAGACTCACAGAAGTATTGGAGGATAAGCTTTCGTGGGTGAATACCCACTTCGAAGAGCTTATGCTCCAATATTCTGTGAGTCTATAAGGTGCCACAGGACTCTTTGTCGCTTTTTACAGATCCAGACTAACACGGCTACCCCTCTGATAGGTCAATGGAGTTCTCAACAAAAGTTCTTCTGCACCTCTGCAGATACCCCAAGGGCCCCCAGTCTCTCTCCCTGCCCGCCTCCTCCACTGCACATATGAATCTTCATGTCATTGAAGAACTGCACCATAGTGCCATTCTTCCAGTCAAGGATGACTAGGTAGCCTTCTGAAGCCTTCATCAATGGCAGAAAAAGATGCTGCTGTGCAACGACAAGCAATCCGATGATTCTCACTGGCAAGCTCACCTTATAACCTCATATTCAAGGGCAGAGTTGGCTTGATAGTCTAGGGGATTTGGTAAACTCACCTTTTTTTTGAAGAGGAGGATTATTGCTAGCAAACGATCTGCCCTTCTTTCCTCCTTTTTGTTTCTATATCTCCCCCTCCTTTCTTTTACACTCTTACACTTTTCTGTGTATTTCCCATTAGTGCGATAGAAGAATGCCTCAGCTTTTACATAGTTACCTCAGATACTTGCCTAATCAAATGCTACAGACAAAGCTCAGGACTGAAAATGTTGGCTCGTTGGTGCATGGATCCAGCAAACGGCAACAGTTCATTCATCTGCCATGGTCTATCTCATACTCTTTGGCCAGCTGAATATTCAGCCTTTGGAATTCACAATGGATTTTTTTTTTTTAAGGCTATACATAAACACACACAAGTTCAATAGGTCAGAATAACTCCAGTTGGCCCAGAAACCTAGAACTTTACATTGTCAGATTGGACACCTGGGTTCAGTGCTTCATCCAGCAATTTTTTCCAGCAGAAACAATGCACTTATTTGCAGTGAGGAGCAGTAAGAAAAAATAAAGGAAGCAAGCTAAGAAAAGTGGCTGTAAGGAAGAGTTATTGGTGTGATGCAAATGATGTGCCTCACACAATGGGGGTCAGGTGCTATTGGAGAGAGGGCTGTTGGAGAACTGGGAATACTTGCATATGGAGACTGAAGAAAATGCTGGGGAGAGAAGTAAGAGATAACCAACATAAGAAGAGAGTCCCCAGCAGGAAAGGGGGCACTGTACTTAGAAAGGAGACTGGTAAAAGTTTATAAAATAATTACACATACATCTCTATAATGGGGAGAAACTGTTTTCAGCTTTCTAGGAATTCTACCGTGGATTCTGAATCTATAAATTTTATTTCAACTGGAATTGACAGCACATGGGCAGTGCATTGCACCGACATGCCATTAATTATAAGATTAGAGCCTAAGTATGTCTTCACTGCAGAGTTAAGTCAGGTAATCAGCACCTGAGTTAGCCTAACCTGTGTGTGGGCAGCCACTCGGCAAAGCCAAAACTACTGTGTCCTCACTAGTGCTGCACTTACCCACGTGTGTCGCTAGGACTTCCGGGGACATATCCTATGCAGTGGCGGATTAGCCACTGTGCCAACGAGGCCCGTGCCCAGGAGCCCCGGCCAATTGGGCGCCCCCGTGCCCTGACCCGCTCTGCCAGGCACTTCTGCTGGCGAGCAGGGTCGTGGCATGGAGGCTTGCCCCACTCCGCCCACCCGGACCTCCTGCCGGGGAGTGGGGAAAGCTCGCACTCTCCGACCCCGCTTCCCGGCAGGAGCGCCGGGCGGGCGGAGGGGGGCAAGCCCCCGTGCCCCAATCCCAGTGCTGGGTGGGGGGCGGGGCAAGCCCCACACCCCGCCCCCATTTTCCCGGCAGGAGCGCCGGTGGGATGGGGGACTGCAGGTGGAAAGGGTGGGGAAGGGCCCCCACTTGCTCTGACCTATGGCCCCACAAAACAGTAATCCGCCTCTGATCCTATGATTCTTTGGGCTCCAGTAAACTGAGGTCTATGATTCTCTCTCAGTGAATTGTGGAAGAACTTGTCTGCACCTTTGGGCGCATGGGGGGGAATTGTGGGAAGGCACTGGAGGATTCTTAGCATTTGAGTAATTTAGCCTGTGTCCTCACTGAGGAGTGGGCAGGTTACCAGCCCAAGTGAAGGCAGCCCCTAACCTCTAGTAGTCTATAGCCCCAGCTGGGAAGCTAGCCTGGGCTTAAAGCACAGCTAAACTCAGGTGAGATGGTTGTGTGTATGGTGGACAGGAAGGGCTTCGAGGCAACACCTGAGAAAGAGCCTGACTTAACTCTACAGTGAAGACATACCTTAAGACTATTACCATTCAAAACATATCAAACACCACATTTTGCATTCTAGCGGCAACATGCCAAAAGTGTATTGGCTTCATTTTCAGAGGTACTGAGCCCTCATAACTACAATTAAAGTCAAGGGGAGCTGTGAGTGCTCAGTGCACCTCTGAAAAAAATCAGGCTTTATGACTTTAGTCTTATGCTAAGTTGTTATTTCTGACATTTTCATGCTTACCTGAGCCTCTTTTTAAGCGTCTTCTTGCCAGTTTAATTTGATCCTGTAGAATCTGTACCCAGTCTCTGGGGCCAGGAAGTTTATCCACGTGGTTAGCAGTGCAATATTTTTCTGTGAAGACTAAAATAAAAGGTAGCATTTTTTTTAAAGTGTCTTGTCAAAATTGAGAAGGGGAAAACAAGGAAGAGGAGGAGGATTAAAAATAAAAACAACAATAACAAAAACTGAAGTTGAAGTGGCCAAAACTAGGAGGGCAAGACCAGAGGTCAATTCAATGTTCTATGTGTTTATCTTTAAATATATTATTTTGTGTCTAGATACTATATTGATTAGCTGCCTATAAAAACCTGAGAAAGAGAGAGAATGTCTACATCTCATGTATGTCACATACAGAAAATATGTATTAAAATAATGGTGAACTTTGAACTAAGCCTCACAAGTGGTGGATATTTATAACTGTCTGTTCACCATATGCATTTTGGCATTAGCGGAGAACTGCAGGTCTCCTCCTGGTCCTTCTGGTCTCATGATCTTATCTGTCAGGCTGCTAGCAAACAGGAGATATGAAGAAGTCCTAAATCTTCAGTGGGCATTTATCATATTGGCAAAACAGAAGAGGACACTGAGCTTTTATAAACACATATAAAAACAATTGCTTTAAAGGGGACAATGTCAATCAGGTCCAAATTTTAGATTTTGTAAAAAACAAGCTTTTACAGAGCTTAAAATACTAGATATATTTTCAAAATTTGTTATAATTCCAATGAAAAACAAACAGATAAAACATTCCCCTGCTGTGTCTGCAACCCTAACACATTGCAACATTGAAAGCAGGAAATGAAACTGACTATAAACAAAAGTGAAACTGACTAATTGTTTTCACTGTCCACCTGAGAGAAGTGCAAAAAGTAAATCAGAACATAAATAGTCTAAGTATTACTATGATTAACAATGCTATTGCAGTAGTGGCCAGAGGTCTCAAAATCTGGAGCACCATTATGTTAGGGCAATATACAGGAAGACTTGGTCTCTGGCTCAAAGTGCTTACAATCCAAGAGGACTTCCTATATCCAAGTAGTATATGAAAGATTTTTTATATTTTTATATGTGTGTGTATATATATATATTATACACACACACAGTCTTCAAAATATTAATAAATAAGTATAAAGGGTTCAAAAATAATGTATTTTTTAAAATTCTTTCAGTTTTAATAATGTAAGGCACTATTCACAATATATAGGTGTTTGTTTACAATCTATGGCCTCAATCCCACAGTCTCATCAATGAGGGCATGGGGTAGCCCATCTGGAGTACCACAGATGTCAACAGGGTCTCACATCGGTGCGGTGGTCAGCTTTGCATGAACTCAAAGCTTATTGGGTCAGGGACTGTCTTTTTGTTCTGTGTTTGTACAGTGCCTGGAACAATGGGGTCTTGATCCATGACTGTGGATCCCTAGGGGCTACAATAATAAAGTAATAATAATCAACTGATTACAATATCAGAGTCTATGATGTGAAAGATTACATTGTCCTTTGAAACAGACATCAACTTGAATTCTAGTAAATTAAAAAAAAGTTGATAGTAGTTTCAGTTTCAGCTTCTGCCAATTTTTGTGATTTTACAACCACATTTGCTTATTTTTAAACAAGATTTCTCTCTCTATGTTGTGTGAAAGACACACAAACAACAGGAGGAAACGACTACTCAGGGAAAACAGTGAAACTGTCGCTACACAAAGTGTGCGCAAAGTAGAAAGAGAGAATTTCTCCTCTAATCGTTTTCAGTTATAGGAATCTTATATATAATTTGTAATGATAGTAGGTAAACTGTTTTCAGACAGAAGGACGATTTTCAAGTTGACAGTGTCCCCTTAAGTTCTCAGCTAATTTCTCCAATGAATGTAGTTTTTTCTCCATTTTTGTATCCACGTCATGGAAAAAGGACAAAAAACATCACTAAACAATATCTGAGAGTTTGGTAGCGTAATGTCTTAATGATAATGCAAACAACATGATGTTGTTCTCATGGAGATTTCATACTGGCTCAGTCATTACTTGGAATAAATGAACCCACAGTGTCTTATAGCACAGCTCCTCAGGGGGAAAATAGTGCTATCGGAGCCAGGCTGAGTAAAGTTCCACACTGTGTCAACCCTTGGCAACTTGTTGCATTAGCCCCTAGGAAAGAACTCCCCTAATGAAACATGACAAAGGTCATGCACTGTCATTTGGTTGATACTCTAAATGCAGTGAATGCAATCCTCTTATTATAGCAGTGCCTAGTAGTACCACCACAGACACATTTCTATTTCCATTACAAATTCTATTTTTGAGGGGTTTTAATTGAAATGTGGTCATTTTTGTTTAACTGCTTGTGACTGCTGCTTTCTACAGTAGGGCGAGTTTTGCTATTTCAATGGTGCTGCCCCACCTACTGGAAATATCTGTCCCCTGCTACCTTTCCTCCATGTCAGCGGATTTAAAAATTCATATTGAAACCTTCCTGTTTTCTCTGGTTTATGACTAACTTGCCTTTTAAAGCTTTTTGTGACTTGTATGAAGGATACCATGTAAAAAATATTTTTTCCTTGTATGCCAATGTTTATCAGCAATACAGTATTCTGTATGATGGGTCCTACTGATATCATCCAATGGACCTTTCGGTGCTAATATATCGTCAATGCCTTGGTACAAAACCATCAACAAGATGTGAATGGAGGCACTGAGTCAATGAACATTACATAGAAATTGCCATTTCAGATCAGTCGTCCATCTAGTCCAGGATTCTGTCTCTTGCAGAGGCCAGTACCAGATTCTTCAGAAGAGAGTGTGTAAGAAACCCCTCACTGGACAAATTATGAAATAACCAATTTTTTTCCTGAGTTAGGCAATCTAAAATCAAACTTCTAATATAAACCTGGTTCTGAACCTGGTTGTGGTTGCAGTCAATACCAGAGATTCTATCAGAAATATAAGTCAGGACTGTGTCACGGTCACAATCACAGAATCAGAGAAGAGTAGGACTGGAAGGGACCTCAAGTGGTCATCTAGTCCAGTCCCCTGCAACCAAGGCAAGACTATGTAATAACTAGCCCATTCCTGACAGGTGTTTGTCTAACTTGTTATTAAAAACCTCCAATGACAGAGAATCCACAACCTCCATAGGCAATTTGTTCCAGTGCTTAACTACCCTGACAGTTAGGAAGTTTTTCCTAATGTCCAACCTAAACCTCCCTTGCTGCAATTTAAGCTCATTGCTTCTTGTCCTATCCTCAGAGAGCAAGGGGGATAATTTTTCTGCTTCCTCCTTGTAACAAATTTTTATGTACTTGAAAACTCTTATTATGTCCCTCCTTAGTCTTCTCTTCTCCAGACTAAACAAACCTAATTTTTTTCAATCTTTCCTGATGGTCTAAAAAGACATGAGCTTTCAATCATTTTTGTTGCTCTCCTCTGGACTTTCTCCAGTATGTCCACAACTTTCCTGAAATGTGGCACCCAGAACTGGACACAATACTCCAGTAGAGGCCTTATCAGTGCAGAGTAGAGTGGAAGAATTTACTTATCGTGTCTTGCTTGCAACACTCCTGCTAATACATCCCAGAATGATATTTGCTTTTTTTGCAACAGTGTTTCACTGCTGACTCATATTTGGCTTGCCATCCACAATAACCTCTAGAGCCCTTTCTGCAGTACTCCTTCCTAGGCAGTCATTTCCCATTTTGTATGTGCAACTGATTGTTCCTTCCTAAGTAGAGTACTTTGCATTTTTTCTTATTGAATTTCATCCTATTTACTTCAGACCATTTCTTCAGTTTGTCCAGATCATTTAACATTTTGATCCTATCCTTCAAAGCACTTGCAACCCTTCCCAGCTTGCTATTGTTCGCAAATTTTATAAGTGTACTCTTTATGCCATTATCTAAATCAATTATGAAGATACTGAATAGAACTGGACCCAGGACCGATCCCTGCAGGACCTCACCCGATATGCCCTTCCAGCTTGACTGTGAACCACTGATTTACATTCTGGGAATGGTTTGTCAACCATTAATGCACCCACCTAAAAGTATCTCCATCCAGGCTGCATTTCCCTAGTTTGTTTATGAGACGGTCATGCGAGACAGTATCAAAAGCCTTACTAAAGTCAAGATATAACATCTACTGCTTCCCCCCATTCACAAAGTTTGTTACCCTGTCAAAAGAAAGCTATTAGGTTGGTTTGACATGTTTTTCTTCACAAATCCATGCTGACTGTTACTTATCACCTTATTATCTTCTAGATGTTTGCAAACTGATTACTTAATTATTTGCTCCATTATCTTTCCAGGTACTGAAGTTAAGATGACTGGTCTGTAATTTCCCCAGTTGTCCTTATTTCCCTTTTTATAGATTGGCACTATATTTGCCCTCTTCCAGTCCTCTGGAATCTCTCCTGTCGTCCATGAGCTTTCAAAGATAATCGCTAATGGCTCAGATATCTCCTCAGTCAGATCCTTGAGTATTCTAGGATGTATTTCATCAGGCCCTGGTCACGTAACAACATCTAACTTGTCCTTTTCCTATTTTAGCCCTCAAATTCTACCTCATTTTCCCTGGCATTCACTATGTTTGACTTCCAATCGCTACTATACTTTTTGGTGAAAACTGAAACAAAAAAAAAGTCATTCAACACTTCTGCCATTTCTACATTTTCCGTTATTGTCTGTTCCCCCTCAGTGAGTAATGGGCCTACCCTGTCCTTGGTCTTCCTCTTGTTTCTAATGTATTTGTAGAATGTTTTCTTGTTACCCCTTAGGTCTACAGCTAGTTTGAACTTGTTTGGTGCCCTGGCCTTTCTAATTTTGTCCCTACATACCTGTGTTATTTGTTTATATTCATCCTTTGTAATTTGACCTAGTTGCCACTTTTTGTAGGACTCTTTTTTGAGTTTCAGATCATTGAAGATCTCCTGGCTAAGCCAGGGTGGTCTCTTGCCAGACTTCCTATCTTTCCTACACAGTGGGATAGTTTGCTCATGTGCCCTTTATAATGTCTCTTTGAAAAACTGCCAACTCTCTCGGACTATTTTTCCCTTTAGAATTGTTTCCCATGGGATCTTACCTACCAACTCGCTGAGTTTGCTCAAGTCTGCCTTTTTGAAATCCATTATCTTTATTGTGCTGTTTTCCCTACCATTCCTTAGAATCATTAACTCTATCATTTCATGATCACTTTCACCCAAGCTGCCTTCCACTTTCAAATTCTCAACCAGTTTCTATTTGTCAAAATAAAATCTAGAACAGCCCTCCCCTAGCTGCTTTCTCCACCTTCTGAAATAAAAAAATGTCTTCGATGCATTCCAAGAACTTGTTGGATAATCTGTGCCCTGCTGTGTTACTTTCCCAACAGATGTCTAGGTAGCTGAAGTCCCCCATCACCACCAAGTCCTGTGCTTTGGAAGATTTTGTTAATTGTTTAAAAAAAGCTTCATCCAGCTTCTGCCTGGTTAGGCGGTCTGTAGTAGATCCCTACCATGACATTACCCTTGTTTTTTACCCCTTTTATCCTTACCCAGAAACTTTCAACAAGTCTGTCTCCTATTTCCATCTCAACCTCAGTTCAGATGCATACATCTTTGATATACAAGGCAACACCTCCTTCCTTTTCCCCTGCCTGTCCTTCCTGAGCAAGCTGCACCCTTCTATAACAATATTCCTGTCATGTGTATTATCCCACCAACTCTCTGTGAAGCAACTGTCATAGTCGTGTTTATTCACTAGCATTTCTAGTTCTTCTTGTTTATTCCCCATTCTTCTTGCATTAGATTATAGATATCTAAAACGCTGATTTGATTTCCCCTCTATGTTTCCTCTTGTCTCTCCCTTATCCCTGCTATAATGGCCCATGCTCCCCCTAGATTCCGACCCTTCTCCCAGGTCTCCATAGTCCATATATTCTTAACTTCCAGGTTAGCTCACGGCAACTCATAACTAGGAATGAATCGCATGTATTTTAAAAGCTCCAGATGGTACAAAATGCAGCAGCCTGTCCACTTAACACAGATCACTAGCTTTCCTTCCTGCACTAGCTCCCTGATTAAGTTGAATACAAAGCCTCTGTCCTAATACTCAAAGCCCTGGACCATAATTTCCTCTAACAGCTATATTCTACCGGTTATCTTGAAACTGTTGATCAACGGGGAGACAACTCAGAGGTGGACAGAACATTCACAGGAGCTTGACCTATGGAACTCACTCCCATAAGACAAGCAGGACCACAACCTCACTGACATCAGAACTAGATACAAAACTCATTTCTTTGACTAGATTTTCTTCAATAAGATCTTCCTCACCTCACAGCCAGCCACAAACTACTAATCCAGTTATTCATAGACTAGATATGACACAGTCAGATGAATGGCGAGTTTTTCCATTCTACCCTGCCGATGTGCCTCAACCCTGATCTGGGAGGATCAAGACAGAAATATGGCAATCCAGGACCCAAGGTAAAACTCAGGAGAGTTCTTCCATTACTCTGCATCTCCATGGAGTGGCAGCAGGCTCCAATCTAATGAATGAGCAGTGCATTTCTCTAGTTGGAGCAATTGTTTCAGGCTGTCTTCTGACTCAAAATGGATATCAAGTACTCTCTGGTCACATTTTCAAGTTTTTCTTTACATCCATGAAGGCCAGAAAAAAATTAAAGTTGAGATTCTTATCTCATCACAGGCCTTCAGGGGCTGGGGACCTAGGCATAAGCCTCTAGCTTAATCTGGTCTGGAGGGACCACTTCCATAATTTCTGAAAAATTATAAAAAGAATGCACATTTTTCTGACTTAAACGCCAGGGATTCTAACTTCCTGGCATTACTCAATGACTAGAACATATTCTCAGCAAAGGATGGAGACACATATATATAGGAAACAAAGCAGAAACATACCTTTTATTGCACCCACAATATTTTGGTCTAGTCCTTTTCGGTTGTCATTGAGTCCTCTTTTCCTCTTGCCATTGGGTAAAGAGTTAGCCAAGGTCTTGTCATCAAAAAATGCACACACCAGCTTTCTAAACAGCAGGCTTCCTGAGCGAGTATAATTTGACAATATAGAGTCCAGCTGAGATTTGGGCATAAAGACATCAAAGCCTTCAGCAAGTTGCACTTCTGGCTACCAAAGGAAAACAAATATTTTAATTAAAATAGTGTTCACACATCTTGTTTTACATTGTCACTTAGTGATCACATCCATCACATCACTTCATTGTCACTTAGTGATCACATCCATGAAGCTTATCCAGGGGTTATGATAAAAAACGGTTACTCACCTTCTCGTAACTGTTGTCCTTCAAGATGTGTTGCTTATATCCATTCCAATCAGGTGTGTGCGCGCCGTGTGTACAGTCATAGGAAAGTTTTTCCCCTAGCAGCACCCGTTGGGTTGGCTGTGGAGCCCCCTAGAGTGGTGCCTTCATGGCACTCAATATATGACTCGGCGCCTCCTCAGTTCCTTCTTGCCGGTTACTCAGACAGAGGGGAAGGCGGGTGGGTTTGGAATGGATATGAGCAACACATCCCGAAGAACAGTTACGAGAAGGTGAGTAACCGTTTTTTCTTCAAGTGATTGCTCATATCAATTCCAATTAGGTGACTAGGCGGTGGGGTCGGAGTTATGGAATCGCAGATTGAAGCACCACTCTGACAAAAGCTGCAGCATCTCTGGCATGCTGGACGATGGCATAATGAGAGGTACCATATGTACCGAGGACCAAATTGCTGCCCTGCAGATTTCTTGGATCAGGACCTGGGCCAGGAATGCCACCGACGAGGCCTGTGTCCTTGGGGGACTGTGCTGTAAGTGCCTGGGCTAGTGTCTTGGCGAGCTCATAGCACGTGCGGATGCAGGACGTGATCCAGGAAGATATTCTTTGAGATGAGACTGGTAGGCCTTTCATGCAGTCAGCACCCGCTATGAACAACTGGTTCGATTTCCTGAATGGCTTGGTGCATTCAATATAGAAGGCTAACGCTTGCCAAACATCCAAGGAGTGCAGCCTCTGCTCACGGCTCCTGGTATGAGGCTTCAGATAAAAAACAGGCAAGAATATGTCTTGGCTGGTATGGAAATGTGATACCACCTTAGGCAGAAAGGCCAAGTGAGGTCTGAGCTGCACCATGTTCTTGTGGAAAACTGTATAAGGTGGGTTGGAGGTAAGGGCCTTAACTCAGACACTCTTCTTGCTGATGTGATGGCAATTAGGAAGGCTACCTTCCACGATAGGTAGAGAAGGGAGCATGTCGCCAGCGGCTTGAATGGGGACCCCATTAATTTGGAGAGGACCAAATTAAGGTCCTACGCAGGAACAGGCTGTCTAATCTGGGGATGTAGCTGATCCAGAGCCCAGACCCTTGAGGAACCGTCCAACCATGGGGTTGGCGAAGACGGTGCGTCCAGAGGCTCCGGGGTGGAAAGCCGAGATAGCCACTAGGTGTACCTTTACAGATGACACTCCCAGGCCTTGCTGTTTCAGGTGCAGAACATACTCCAGGATAAGAGGTAATGGCATCTGCAGTGGGGGCATATGACGCTGGTCACACCAGCAAGTGAACCTCTTCCATTTCACCTGATATGTGGCCCTCATGGAGGGCTTTCTGCTGCCGAGTAAGACTTCCCTTACCTGCACCAAGCACAGGAGCCCCATAGGGTTCAGCCATGAAGCTTCCAGGCCATGAGGTGGAGGGACCGGAGGTCTGGGTGATGAAGATGACCATGGTCCTGAGTGGTCAAGTCGGGGAGGAGCGGCAACGTGATCGGAGTGTCGACTTACAGATCCAGAAGCGTGGTGTACCAGTGTTGTTGAGGCCATGCTGGCGCCACCAGAATGATCTCTGCTCCGTCTCTGCGGACCTTGAGCAGGACCTTGTGCACGATACTGATCGGGGGAAAGGCGTAGAGCAGACGGCCTCCCCAGGGTAGCAGGAATGTGTCTGCGATTGAGCCCGGGCTGCTTTTCTGAAAGGAGAAAAACACTGGGCACTTCCAGTTGCTCCGAGTGGCAAATAGGTTGTCCTGGGGAAACCCCCACCTCAGAAAGATGGAGTGAAATCCAGCTGGATGGACCACGCGTGGCTGTGGAAGGACCAGCTGAGGTGGTCTGCCAGTACGTTCTGGGCTCCTGGCAGATATAAAGCTTCCAGGTGAATGAAGTGGGCTATACAGAATTCCCAGTCTGAGAGCCTCCTGACAGAGGGGTGAGGACCAGGTTCCACCCTGCTTGTTGATGTAAAACATTGCAGTGGTGTTGTCCGTCATGACTGCCATGTGGCTGGCCTTGAAGATGAGACTGAAAGGTCTGGCATGTGAATCACACTGCTCTGAGCTCCGTGATATTGATATGGACAGAGAGCTCGTCCTGTTACCAGAGGCCCTGCGTTCGGAGATATCCCAGATGTACGTCCCAACCTAGAGCTGATGCGTCCGTAACTAGAGACAAGGACAGCTGAGGGCTGCTGAAGGGGACTCCTTTACAGACTATTCGAGTCGAGCCACCACTGGAGTGACTCTAGCACCGGCTGTGGCACCATGACCACTAGTCCCAGGCTGTCGTGCCCTGAGCAGTATGTTGAAGCGAGCCATGTCTGGAGAGATCTGAGTCTCAGCCTGGTATGTCGGGCCACGTACATGCAGGCTGCCATGTTACCGAGAAGACTGAGGCAATTCCTTGCTGTAGTGGTCGGTACTCTCTCATGCATCGAATGATGCTTGCCGTGGATTGGAATTGGGACTCCAGCTGGCTTGCTCTTGCCTGGACCGAGTCCGACACTGCTCTAATAAACTCGATCCTTTGGGTCGGAGACAAGGTGGATTTGTTCACATTGAGGAGGAGACCCGGTCTCTTGAACGTGGAAGGGGCCAGACAGACTGCGACTCCACCTGTTCTCTGGTGTGCCCCCTGAGCAGCTAATCTTCGAGGTAAGGGTATATCTGCACCTGCCTCCTTCAGAGGAAGGCTGCTACCACTGACATGCACTTGTTGAACACTCGTGGGGTTGTTGACAGGCCGAAGGGAAGGACCGTGAACGGATAACGTTTTTGGTCAATCGTGAACCTTAAAAAGTATCTGTGACTAGGGTGAATCGCTATGTGAAAGTACACGTCTTGCATGTCGAGGGCGGTGAACCAGTCTCCCAGATCCAGAGAAGGGATAATTGTATTGAGGAAAACAATGCAGAACTTCAACTTTACCATGAACTTGTTGAGTCCTTGCAGGTCTAGAATGAATCTGAGACCCCCTTTAGCTTTGGGGATTAGGAAGTAGCGGGAATAGAATCCTTTGCCCCTGAGCTCCTCAGGAACCTCCTCCACCGCTCCTATGGCAAGGAGTGCCTGCACCTCCTGGATAAGGAGTTGCTCATGAGAAGGATCCCTGAAGAGGGACGGGGGGGAACTGGATTCTGCTGCGCCGATGCGGGTTGCGGTCTAAGTGCTGCCTCCATAAGGAGCTGTTTCAATCTAAAGTCCCGCTCCTTCTTGGTTCGGGGGTGAAAGCCCTTACAAATCCTGCACTTTTCTCACTGATGTGCTTCCCCCAGACACTTTAAACAAGCGTCATGAGGGTCGCCCATTGGCATGGGCTTGTTTCAGGCCTTGCAGGGCTCGAACCCCTGGGACTTAGGCATGTAAGTCCCCCAAAGAGAACACAGTCCGGGTGGAGGGTAAACTCCCCAGCCCAACAGCTAACTACTAACTACAATAACTAAGAACTAACTAAGAACTAAACAACTACAAAATACAGTCTGAAAGAGAAGCTAGGGAAACAGAGAGAGCTTGCAAAGCAGTTCTAACGATCGTCACTGGCGGTAAGAAGGAACCGAGGAGGCACCGGGTCGGCAGGGTCATATATTGAGCGCCATGAAGGTTCCACTCCCGGGGGTTCCACAGCCAACCCGACAGGTGCTGCTAGGGGAAAAGCTTTCCGACGACTGTGCACACGGTGCACACACACCTAATTGGAATCTATATGAGCAATCACTCGAAGAACAGTTTATTTTACTGAAATAAAAGTAACCAGCGAATGAGCACATTAAAAGGCAAGTCAAATAATTATACAGATTGTCATCTTTATGTACCATTGCAGCTACTCAACACTTACTATGCTACTTCTTTGTACACAGCAAAAAAACTAAACAAAACAAAAACCCAAAGGGCGAGGATACCTTGCAATATGCAATTACCCAGAAGGTCACCACCAGAACAATTTCATTTGGACAAGGCCAAATAGCCTTTTAAAATAGTGTTTATATGACCCTTTAGTGGATCTGATTCACTCCCATGAGCACAGGGAGTACAATCTGCATCTTTCTGCACTAATGGAGCAGTTCACCCATGGGGCACCCAGGGAGGACAGGTAGTTGTACGGCAACCATCTTCCAGTAGGGTACTGGCTTTAAGTTCTATTCAAAGCTCCACAGGAAGTCAAGTCAAGTCAGTAGGACCTCGCAATGCAAGGACAACTCGTGTGTGTGAAAGATGGCAGAAACTGAGTAAATGATTGCTCCCAAATCCTGTGTTGGCTTGTGAATCACTCTCTTTCTTGTTATCATGTATCATGAGTGCATCCTTAGGATATAATGACATTAAATTGACAGCTTATTATAGCAAAAAAATTGTGGTAAATCATATACTAAATGACACCATCAGAAGAAAAGGGGGAAAATATCACTGCCTTGTATTTCCTACACAGCTAGACTCTCTTATTAAGCACTTTTAGGTCCAACATTTTCCAAAGGTCTCTGAGAGGGTCCCCACCTCACAATACACACTGGGCATGAACAATGTATATTTTTGTGCAATTACACATTTTTGGCAGGTTTGCTCAAGCAACATTTTGTTTTTGTTTTATTAATGCAAACGTCCACCTGCAAATACGATGGCTATGTTTTCAAAGACGCAAACACAGGCATAAGTGGTAGCGTGTACAGCGCTATGCTGCAGGAGAGCTTCTCTCACCAACATAGCTCCTGCTGCTTGTTGGGGGGTGGTTTAATTACGTTGACGAGAGAGTTCTCTCCCAACGGCATAGAACGGCTACAGAAGAGATCTTACAGCAGCGCAGCTGCATCGGTACAGCTGTGCCACTGTAAGCTTTCTAGTGTAGACACAGCCTTAGAAATCTAAGGCCGCGTCTACACTTACAAGCTTACAGCAGCACAGCTGTACTGATGCCGCTGTAAGAGCACTCGTGTAGCCGCGTTATGCCGATGGGAGAGAGCTCTCCTGTCGACATAATAAAACCAGCTCAACGATCAGCAGTAGCTACAGCACTGTGCACACGAGCGCTTATGCCAGCAGAACTTATGTCGCTCAGGGGGGTGATTTTTTTCAAACCCCGGAGTGACAAACGTTTTGCCAACGTAAGTGCTAGTGTAGATACGGTCTAATAAGATCCCAGTGTTGCAAGGAGGAAATGCCATAAACAAATCTAATTAATACTGCTGTGAATTACTGGTGAAAAACACCTATGCATCGGGGAGGTCGGAGGGGGAGAACAGAGTCAATTGGTACGTTTACACTTACCGGAGGGTCCGGCGGCAGGCAATCGATGTTCTGGGATCGATTTATCGCGTCTGGTTTAGACGCGATAAATCGATCCCGGAAGTGCTTGCCGTCGACGCCGGTACTCCAGCTCGGCGAGAGGAGTACGCGGCATCGACGGGGGAGCCTTCCTGCCGCGTCTGGACCCGCGGTAAGTTCGGACTAAGGTACTTCGAATTCAGCTACGTTATTAACGTAGCTGAATTTGCGTACCTTAGTCCGAAGTGGGGGGGTAGTGTGGACCAGGCCAATGTAATGTTAGTTTAGGTTTTTCTAAATAAATTAATCAATTTGTATCTCAGCCACATAAATTGAAGGTAAAATGCTGATTTATGACTGCATTCCTTTAGTAGCAAATTATTCTTCAATCAAAGGCAATCAGTACTTAATTGAGCTTTCATGGACAACTCTGAATGTGATTTATCAAATGGAATAGCTCTTGTTGGCAGATAATAATTAGATATAATTAAATATAAAGAACCAGTGGGTAACTATTCATGTACAGTGTAACAAATTATCTGCATTAATAGTAAAGCAAAGACAAGAAAGTTTAACTATCATTATATTTAAAAAGGGCTAATCAGGTTCATGGGCCAGATTCTGAGCTCTGATCCACTGATGTGACTCCTGGGTACCTCAACTGAAACCTTAACATTGGTTTCAATGAAGTTATCCTTGATTTACAACTGAAATGGAATGGGGATCGCTTTCTAGGCAAAGATGTAGTGAAAATAATATTGGCATTGGTTAGTAATTTTATAAATCAGTACATACAAGGCGCAATTTGTACAATTTTCCAATGAGAGTATTTATTTACTGTACTATCAAAACTCCCTTTCAGTTTTCCTAGGCGCTCAGACACAATGGTTGTAAGTGCAATAGAAATGCCTATAAATAAATAGAAGGAAAAGATAAAACAATGTCCTCATTCATTCTTTTTAAAAAGTGGTATTATTTAATACATTCAAAATGTTTAGAGATTTCATTTTATTTCCACTGGTAAATATATCCACTCCCAAACCTCAACTTTCTTCTTTTGAAAATAAAACCCATATGGTTTAAATAATAATAAAAACATCTTGCTTATTTTCAGAACTGTCCTAAGCTGCTTTGATGGTGGGGAGGGTTCAGTTGCTGGAAACATACTGAACCAACAAGTGTGGCAAATAGTGCATGTCAGTTCCAAACAATGGAAGCAAGATGAGGCCCAATTTTTAAGCCAAGCTTCCATTTTCAGGGTGCAAAACTGCCATCTACAAGGAACTGCAGCCAGAATGAATCACCACAGAACTAGCGTGAATGAAACGAACCCACAAAACTATGGATGAAATTCCATTGCACACACAAAGCTTCCTGAAAAACTGGAGATCCAACCTAAAAATCAGGCCACAGGCATAGAAGTCTTATAAATGTAAATTGCATATCTGAGGCAGAAGTTATCCAGTATCTACTATCGCTTCAAACCTTTCTAACCACAATACTACAACAGAAGAACCTTTGCAAAGCATTGAACTAGTTGCTCTATATCATTACACAGACTCTCTTGCATGACACCGTAATCTAATTAGTGGTGTCGCTTGCATCTATATAACTGAATTATCATGACTGCTCTTTTTTATTATTAGTTTGCACTTCTAGAAAAGGTACAACATTATCTACAGGATTCTTTTCATTTACGGTCATTGATACAAAATTTAATTATGTTCTTCTAGCTCACTGTACTTAGGAAATTGGAAACTGCCTTCTCAAAATTAAAAATATATTAAAGAAATTAATGATCAGCTTATTCATCAGTGAACTTTTCAGACATCACCCATCTGATCATTAAACAAAGCCAATCAACCACCCCTATGGTCACCAGATAGACACTTCATTAATCAATGCCACCTGCAACCTTCCATACGCTAATAGCTGCTAATTCTAATCCTGCAACTGGATCTGCCTGGGCAGCCTCTTGCACTCATACAGAGCCCCACTGACTTCAACAGCAGGATCAAGGCCTTTACCTGGATACAACAGGGATGAAAGTTAAATACCCCAATCTTGCAAAGATTTACACATATACACCTCTACCTCGATATAACGCGGTCCTCGGGAGCCAAAAAATCTTACCGCGTTATAGGTGAAACCGCGTTATATCGAACTTGCTTTGATCCGCCGGAGTGCGCAGCCCTGCCCCCCCGGAGCACTGCTTTACCGCATTATATCCAAATTTGTGTTATATCGGGTCGCATTATATCGGGGTAGAGGTGTACGTAAACTTTATTCATGCGAGCAGTCCCTTTGAACAGGGCCGGCTCTAGGATTTTTGCCGCCCAAAGCAAAAACAATTTTGGTCACCCCCCCCCGTTTTTTAATTACCCCACCCCCGGCCCCAGCCCTGCCTCCTCCCCCCAGGCTCTCAAGCCTAGGAGGGAGGGAGGGAGGGAGGGGGAGAAGCGGCGCCCGCGCCGTGGCCACTCGGAGTCTCCCCCTCCCTCCCAGGCTCTCAAGCCTGGGAGGGGGAGCAGCGGCGCGCGAAACGGCCTGTGGCTGTGGCTAAGCCTGTGGCTGTTTCGCGCGCCAGCAGCAGCGGAGGTGAGCTAGGGCGGCCCGGGGCACATTTTTAGGGGCGGCATTCTGGCGCCGGCCATGCCGCCCCTAAAAATGTGCCGCCCCAAGCACCAGCTTGTTTTGCTGGTGCCTAGAGCCGGCCCTGCCTCTGAAGCCAATAGAATTACTCAAGTGTGTAAAATTAAGTAAATAAATACTTTTTTCAGGAGCAAAGCTTAGGTGTGGAATAATTACATTAGTCAAGAAAGGCTAGGGTTGTGAATTCCTTAAACAGCTCCTTGCAGGGGCTCCTGGACTTACTTTGGCCCTGGGTAACATGGCAGATGGGGACAGCAAGTTTATTTTGCAGGGGCAAACAGAGCTCCCGATCCCTACAGAGCATCTACAGAGTGGTTTCTATGGGATCAGGGAAAGAGAATATAAGGCGTTGGAAGCAGCACTCCCCTTTCATGACTCCAAATCCAAATCCCCACTTTTTTTGTGATAGAGGAAATAATATAGCCTCAAGTAGACTTCAACATTGATCCCTAAGTTATAGTGCGGTAAAGTTCTCTGGCATTTTATGCAACTGAAATATCAACTTACATCTGAGGAAGATGATTCAAGAATGATACCAAATCCTGAAACATGGGTCTCTGGCTTTGGAGTATGTTCAGCTGCTTGCAGGCTGGATCTTTCAGAGTTTGCTGACAGTTTCTTTTCCTTCTCTACAGTGCTGGGCTTCTTATTCACAGTAATGGGCTCAAGAGTCTTTTGGGGCAATTTTTTCTTTTTATTTCTCTTTCTTGATATTGTTGACTTCTGTGCACAGATCAGGGGAATCGGAGGCTGCTGTCTGTTTTGGGTGCCAACTGAAGGGAAAAAAAGCTGTGAATATATTTATAGAAACATGTACACCACTGCAGGTTAAACGTAGTTATTAACTTGCTGTATTCATCCTCTGGCTAAGCAACACTATTGACAATACAGTTTGTGCATATGAAGCATTTATATTTTCTCAGGTTTGCATAATTAGCCCTGAATATTGAAAAAAGGACTTGAACAATGATTACAGTTGTGTGAAATTGTATATCCTCTGACATTATCGACGATCTTATGGTCTTTCAACATCTTTTACTGACATAAATAAGAAAACTCTCTAGATGCATTAGCAATCATGCTCTTTTCTAAAGAAAATTGGCTCAAAAAGAACATTTAAAAAACTATTTTATCAAGAATTAGTAAAAAATATTTAACAGTTTAATTTCTACATTCTGGGAAACAGTTACCTGTTTGGTTTTTTTTGAAGCCTAATGGGTCTTATTTTTCACATATATTAATATTTTATATTTATACAGCATCTTTCAAGGACACATAAGTGCTCTACAAATTAAGGCCCTACTCCTGCAATCAGAGCTGTCTGGATTCATAGATTCTAGGACTGGGAGGGACCTCGAGAGGTCATCGAGTCCAGTCCCCTGCCCGCATGGCAGGACCAAACACTGTCTAGACCATCCCTGATAGACATTTATCTAACCTACTCTTAAATATCTCCAGAGATGGAGATTCCACAACCTCCTTAGGCAATTTATTCCAGTGTTTAACCACCCTGACAGTTAGGAACTTTTTCCTAATGTCCAACCTAGACCTCCCTTGCTGCAGTTTAAGCCCATTGCTTCTTGTTCTATCCTCAGAGGCTAAGGTGAACAAGTTTTCTCCCTCCTCCTTATGACACCCTTTTAGATACCTGAAAACTGCTATCATGTCCCCTCTCAGTCTTCTCTTTTCCAAACTAAACAAACCCAATTCTTTCAGCCTTCCTTCATAGGTCATGTTCTCAAGACCTTTAATCATTCTTGTTGCTCTTCTCTGGACCCTTTCCAATTTCTCCACATCTTTCTTGAAATGCGGTGCCCAGAACTGGACACAATACTCCAGCTGAGGCCTAACCAGAGCAGAGTAGAGCGGAAGAATGACTTCTCGTGTCTTGCTCACAACACACCTGTTAATACATCCCAGAATCATGTTTGCTTTTTTTGCAACAGCATCACACTGTTGACTCATATTTAGCTTGTGGTCCACTATAACCCCTAGATCCCTTTCTGCCGTACTCCTTCCTAGACAGTCTCTTCCCATTCTGTATGTGTGAAACTGATTTTTTCTTCCTAAGTGGAGCACTTTGCATTTGTCTTTGTTAAACTTCATCCTGTTTAACTCAGACCATTTCTCCAATTTGTCCAGATCATTTTGAATTATGACCCTGTCCTCCAAAGCAGTTGCAATCCCTCCCAGTTTGGTATCATCCGCAAACTTAATAAGCGTACTTTCTATGCCAATATCTAAGTCGTTAATGAAGATATTGAACAGAGCCGGTCCCAAAACAGACCCCTGCGGAACCCCACTCGTTATGCCTTTCCAGCAGGATTGGGAACCATTAATAACAACTCTCTGAGTACGGTTATCCAGCCAGTTATGCACCCACCTTATAGTAGCCCCATCTAAATTGTATTTGCCTAGTTTATCGATAAGAATATCATGCGAGACCGTATCAAATGCCTTACTAAAGTCTAGGTATACCACATCCACAGCTTCTCCCTTATCCATCTGACTTTGTGCAGATGTAAAGGTCCAGCCACATGGATCAGATTGTAGAATCAGGGCTAAATAATCAGTATCAAGCAACTCAGGGCTTGTCTACACTTGAAACGCTACAGCAGCGCAGCTGCAGCAGCACTTCCGTGTATACACTACTTACTCCAATGGGAGGGGTTCTCCCATCTCATAGACTTTAAGGCCAGAAGGGACCATTGTGATCATCTAGTCTGACTTCCTCACATCACAGGGCACAGAACCTCACACATTCTCTCTTGTAATAGACCCAAACCTCTGGCTGACTTTCTGAAGACTTCAAATCATGATTTAACGACTTTAAGTTACAGAGAATCCACCATTTACTGTAGTTCAAACCAACAAGTGACCCCTGCCGCATGCTGCAAAGGAAGGTGAAACCCCTCCAGCATCTCTGCCAATCTGACCTGGGGGGAAAATCCTTCCCAACTCCAAATATAGTGATCAGTTAGATCCTGAGCACGCCGGTGAGACTCACCAGCCAGACACCTGGGAAAGAATTCTCTATAGTAACCCAGAGCCCTCCCCATCTAGTGTCCCATCTCCAGCCACTGGAGATACTTGCTACTAGCAGTCGCAGATGGGCCACATGCCATTGTAGGCAATCTCATACTACCATCCCCTCCATAGACTTATCAAGCTCAGTCTGGAAAGTTCAGTCTGTTTTTTTGCCCCCACTGCTTCCCTTGGAAGACTGTTCCAGAACTTCACTCCTCTGATGGTTAGAAACCGTAGTCTAATTTCAAGCCTAAACTTGTTGATGACCAGTTTATATCCATTTGTTCTTGGGCCAACATTGGCCCTTAACGGAAACAACTCCTCTCCCTCCCTGGTGTTTAACCCTCTGAGAACAACCATGTCTCCTGTCAGCATAGGTAATCCACCTCCCTGAGAGGTGGTAGCTAGGTTGACAGAAGAATTCTTCTATTGATCTAGCACTGTCTACACTGGGGGTTAGATTAGCTTAACTACATCACTCAAGGGTATGGATTTTTCACACTCCATAGCGACTGTAGCTAGGTCAAAGTAATTTTTTAATGTAGAACCTTATTTTTTTCCATGGGCAATTGAAAGCCCCATTGAAAATGCTACAGCTTCCAGGGAACAGCAAACTGCCATACTCTGCAAAGGTTTCTTAATAGGAACCCCATTCATAGTGGTATTTACTTAATGGGTTTTGGAGAGGTTTCTGGCAACGATTACAAGGGCTGCAATTTGTACTTTGTCATTTAAATAGGAAGGTGCTTAACTATCAGAATAAATCATTATGCTTTCGTATACACATTTGTATTTTAGGTGCTAATTCTTTTTTTTTTTAAATAACAAAAGTGTCAAACAAGTGTCCACATACCACAAACTATAAACTATTTCCCAAAGCTTTTCATCAAGAGGTCCATTAAATTACGAACTTATTTACATTACAGATACACAGCACGGAAAGAGAAACACTCCTATTATCTTGGATTCCAGTTTTCATTGCAGAAGGTCTAGTCCTGCATTTTTTATCCACAAGTCATCCTTACTGATGCAAATAATCCCCCTGAAGTAAATGTAACTACTTGTGTAAAGGGATTTCTCATGTGCGTAGAGGACCCTCACACTCCTTTGAAACCCAAACATATTTACTCACGGTAGCTGACATTACAATACTTGTCTCATCTATCCTTAGCTCATAGTAACATTATTTCAAGTATGATACTGTATGCATACAATCACCTTCTTTGTCCTTTCAACTTCCACCATATTTCAATTAAAAGAACCCCCCGCCACACAATTCTAACTGAGGGCTGTCATAGTTCAGATGACTGCTCCTGTGTTTCCCCCTCATGGTTCACCAAGGGCACCCACTTTCAGACTTCTGGCTTCCCAGCTGTCACCTCTCTTGGGCGGAGACCTGCATTTCTCCTCCTCCTGACTGGGTATTTCCAGGCTCCACGGTTCCCTGCCTACATTGTGAATTCTCCAGCACGACAGATAGCCTAAACAGGCCCACTTTGCCTTCTTCTCAGAGATTATGAGCAGCATAACTCCTCAGAGATGGGAAACCCGTTTAAATCCCTTCTCCCCATCAGGCAGAGTGGGGAACTGAACCAGGGTCTCCCACATCCCAGATGAATATCCCAAGCACTGAGCTAAAAGTTACAAAGGAGCTGCGGCTCCTCCTCCTTCTCCCTTTGTTCCCAGGCCATGTTATGTGGAGTTATGTGGCTGCCTAACTTATTCCCATAAGAAATAACTTGGGGTGCCTAAGAGGGGTTCCCATTAGTGGATCACAAGCAGAGAGAGAGGCCTTTCTGCAGCCCAGATTTAGGCACATATCTCCGTGAGAGAGTCTGGGTTTAGGACACACCCCTATGATTGGCATCTCCCCACTTAGCATGCTGGCTTTTGTGAACTGCAGTCTAAGGTGCCTATCTCCCCCCATTTGTTGTACAGAGAGCCTAGGTGCCTAACTCAGGCTTTGTGGATCAAATTGTTGTTCTAGTGATTTTCTAGGCATCTAAAAGTTAGGCATTGCGATGCTTACCATAGCAACACCTAAGTCTCTTTGTGGATCCAAACCTTAGGTGCCTAAGGGCCTTAATGGGCTCCTATGGCACCTAGGCACTTTTGAAAAATTGACCCCAAGAAGCAGAGACTTGAATCCTGGTCTCCCAAGTGAGATTCCTTAACTACTGGACCATTCTTCGTAGTGAAAGCACTCTGGAAATATCCTGACTAACGATATCAGACACAGATTAAAGGAGTGTGAGAAAGAGAGAGATCATGGTACCTGCTTGAATCTGCATTAACTTTCTCATGGTCTTCAGCTCTTGGAGAATGGCCTGCAAAGTTGACTGGCAATTACAAGTACAACAGTTTGGTCCAACTGATGAACTGACCCCTGGAAGTTCTCCTGAAGAAGAAATGAAATAAAATAATGATACAATCAAAAGAGCTGGACAGGATTTTGAAGCTAGTAATGTACGCTATCGTGAAATTGGACCCAAGGAAAGCACAGCCAATAATTACCAAAACATTCATTTTTGGGAGGAGGGGGCCATTGGGTTTTATCTGGCTACCAGTATATATGCTTACATCCTCAGGGGGACATGATGTTATAGGGGTTGGTGAGGACTGCACAAAAGCGTGAACACAAGGCGCTCTCACAGCAGGGCTCTCTATTGTCAGGCTAGTTCATCTCAGATAACAATAGCTCCAAATCTCATTATAAACATACTCACTTTATCATGCACAAAAAACCCCATCTCCTAGAACAGTCCTACAAAGAATGGGTAGCCGTCTGTGTAATAAAGGTTTATATTATGCATTAAATAAGGGCCTACCAATTCTAAAATTGGATGTTACCTACCCATGTTGCTTTATAACATGAAGAACTCAGAATGAAAATCAGATCCTCTGGTCACAGAATCACAGAAATTACTGGTGGGAAAGAACCATCAGCAAGAAAACCTATATAATCTGCTCCATCCTTCTGCCAGTACTGGTTTGTTTCCTACAGCACATTTTCTCATGCTGTGTCCCAGGAGATAATGTTCGCACAACTCCCCTTGGGAGACTATTCAACAATTCAATAGACTGCTTTGTCCAGAATTTCCTACTGATATTTCAGCCTAATTTTCCTTTTCTTAATTTCATTCTTTTACTTCTGGTTCTACCCCCCTGAAAAAACCTTAACTCTTCCTCAGTCACCAGACTGTTTTCATCTTTCACATACTTGGAGGTCTTGAAAAAGGGTGGCTCTCACAAGCTCAGAGAGCTGGTACCTTCCTCTGCTAGCTGTATCTTGTGCTGCAGAATCTGAAGTTTTTGTTGTCAAAGAATTACGTTTCTAGCCTTTAAAGGTGCAAAGAAAACCTTCAAAATACAAATAGAATGTCAACTGCTGCAAAGGTATCTGTCTGAACCTATAACCAGACATGAACTGCCCCTATTCATTTCAATGGCCGTTAATACTGAAGACTAATGACGATTATTTAAATTGGTAACTATTTTACTGTTTTGCAAAGCACAAAAGAAGAGGGATGATCCTATTATGAAGATCTGAACAACCTAATACAAGTCATTTCATTTTTGTATCACAGGTGTGCGGACCTTTGGAGAGTACATTGTTTATTTTTTCTCCAACCTGACTAGTCGAGTTATCGTGTGCCCTTTAGTTATCATTTAGCAAACTCTAAGGATACGTCTACACTGGATAGCTTACAGTGGTATAGCTGTACTGATGCAGCTGTGCTGCTGTAAGATCTCTCATGTAGCTGCTCTAAGCCGACGGGAAAGACCAATCCTGTTGACATAATTAAACCACCCGCAATGAGCAGCGGTAGCTATGTCAGCAAGAGAAGCTCCCCTGCCGACATACCGCTGTCCACACTGGCACTTATGTCAGTGCAACTTATGTTGCTCAGGGGAATGTCTTTTTTTCACAGCCCTGAGCGACAAGTTTTGCCAAGTAGAAGTACAGACAAGTAATTAACTCATTTAATCTTCTCTCAGAAGTCCCTCCAGCCTCAATTACTTTTGTTGCTCTTCTCAGAACTCCCTCCTATTTGTTAATAACTTTCCAGTTTCAGCTTGTACCTTCTGGATCAGATCCTCAGCTAGCGTAAACTGGCACAGCTCCACTGGCTTCAATGGAGTCATGCTAATTTATAGTGAATGAGCATCTTCCACATTTCACCCAATCCCTGGAAAACCATGCCTGTTGTGGCCCACCATGTTTTACACCTCTCTTCCTTCACGTCTCTCCTAAGAGTGTCTTCTTCCAAAAGTCCTATAAGCACTAATCCTTCCCACAGAGAAGTATTGGCAAACTAAACAACTGAATCTCCCACTGTCCCACCAAAAAAATCAAAATAAAGACTGAGAATCAAAGATTAATGGAAAATGTAATTCTTCAATCACACTGCTTTGTGTGACATCCCCATAGATCAGACTGGGGGGAAAATAAGTAGTGTTAATTCTCCCAAGAGCCTCCCCGTTTGTGGTACCAAAGTGAAATGTCATTCACAGTAGATTGCACAGAACTTCACAATATGACCCTTCCTCTCCCTTCTTACATATTTTGATTGCCATTGGCAAAGTAATTAAGAATGCTACCATTTAAAATTCTCTCCCTGTTAACACCACATTGAGATGAATGGGGCACCTCAGACTTCCGAGACCTGCTGTTTCAGGCGCTCTGTGAATTTAGCAAACACAACTGCACCAGTTACACTTGAGTCATGTTTTATGGTTTTGTTTGCAGTCTTAAAGGTGGCAACTTGCTTTTTCTTTTTTCAAATAAAAAAAGCGATTCCAAAGACTAGGAAGGCAGTCTCAATTAAAAAATAACAAAACTAACAACAAAAAGGGGTTTACTGATCTGGCACAAGCCCAAGTTTGACCCCATCCCTCATCCTTCCTTTGTACATTGCCTATTCAGACTTATGCCTGGTTTACACTACCCGGTTAGGTCGACGTAAACTGCCTTGCGTCGACCTAGCTGTGGAAGTGTCTTCACTTAAATCTGGCTCCCGCCGACGTAAGTACCTCTGTACACCAGAGGTCAGCAACCTTTGGGAAGTCGTGTGCCAAGTCTTCATTAATGTAAGGTTTCGCGTGCCAGACTGGCAGCGCGGGTGGCAGACGGAACCCCAGGCTGGAAGCGGGCTGAGCGGGGCCAGCGGCCGGGACCCCGGCTGACAAGGGGCCGGCGGCCGGAACCCCAGACCGGAAGCGGGCTGAGCGGCTCATCCCGCTGCTGGTCTGGGGTTCCGTAATCCAGGCCGGCAGCAGGCTGAGCGGGGCCACTAAAAATCAGCCTGCGTGCCGCCTTTGGCACACATGCCGCAGGTTGCCAACCCCTGCTGTACACCAATTTAGTAACACTACCTTCCTGTGTGGGAGTGTCAAAGTCGATGTAATTAGGTCAATGCAATGTCAGTGCAGACTCTGTTACTTATGTCGACTGTTACTGGCTTTCAGGAGCTGTCCCACAATGGCCCACACTGACAATACAATTGATACAAGTGCTCCTAATGAGGAAGCATACCACCGACACAAGGAGCCAACTGTGCACACACACCAGCAATTTAATAACTGCGGTGGCTGTATGCCGACATAAGTTAGGTCGATATAATTTTGTAATGTAGACATGGCCTTAAGGTTCTTTGAGGGGAGGAATGGGACTTTGTCTTCCCAATTGTTCGCAATGTGCTTAGCACAGTGTTAGAGCTACACAAACACCACATAAGGAAGGTTTTTATTTTTAGTCTTGTGGCAGATCACTCAGGGTATGCCTACACTTAAATAGCTAGAGTGGCACACAGCTACTGTAGTGCTTTAGGGCTTGTCTACACTTGAAATGCTATAGCAGCACAGCTGAACCGCTGCAGCTGAGCTTCAGTGTAGACACTGCCTATGTCAGTGTAGGTAATCCACCTCCCCGAGAGGCAGTGGCTAGGTCGATGGAAGAATTCTTCTGTCATTCTAAAGTGGTCTACATGAGGGCGTTGATGTAGCTATGTCTCTCAGGGGTGTGGATTTTTCACATCCCTGAGACATACCTACGCCTATATAAATTCCCACTGTAGACCAGTCCTCCTAGTCCCTGAAGAGACTTCCACCAACACCCAATTGAACGACAAAACTTTTATTGTTCACAGGTGCTTAAACCCTCCCCTCCCCCCCAAGACAAAAGTTTTGCCACGGCAAGTGGCAGTGAAAACAGCTCGTTGTCGGCACGAGCGCTCTCCTGTCGACAATGCAAACCCCACTCGTAGGGGGTGGAATTATTTTGTCGGCAAAAGTGCCGACAAACAGCATTTACACTGCCCGACTTTTAGTGACATGGCCGTGTCGCTAGAAGCTGTGTAGTGTAGACAAAGCCTTAATGTCAGTAGGAGATTAGGTTCAAGGCAGCTTCCAAATGTGTACGTGCTTGGTATAAAAATTCAGCACCAACACCACCGCTCCCCGCCGCCTTTAGTAAGGCAAACAGCTATACTGGGTGTCCACAAAAGGTGAGTCAGTTATATTATCAACAATAACGAAAAAATCCCAGTCACCCCTCCCTCTGGGCTTCTCGAGGTCATCCTATCTACTCTATCTTCTTTGAACAATAAGCTCCTTGGGACAGGCCCAGTCTTATTTTCTCGCTTGTAAGGCATCCAGCAAATTGCAGGAGCTTAGCAAATAATAAATAATATTTGAAAGAGTAGATATTTTCAGATTTTGCATATTTGTCTCTAGAACGTAGAAACTTTGACTAAGCAAATACTGCCAAGTAAATACCTGTTCATCTTTCCTGTTACAAATAAAATACATTCCTAATGAAGGCACAGAGGCCCTGACTGAAAACCAAAGGGTCTGTTTTCCCATTGAGGCATGTGGGATTTACATTATAATTCCCATTAGCATTGATAGAAATTACCCATGTAAATCTACCATATGTATTGTAAATGGGAAAGGAGACCACCAGTACTTCAAATCAAAGCAGACTTCTGCCAACTTCATACATATTCATGAAGAGTTTTTATTTTTCTTCCATCATCTCTCTTCCAATCAGTTACAATAGCGGAGTAAGAAACATCTTGTAGAATGGTCTCAATCATTGTTCCAAGCACTACCTTTATCATTTTTAGAGGACAAAAGCAACTCTTTTCTACTCGTTATAAATCAATTTTTAATTTTAAAAAGAGAGCAGACTTTTTATTTTTATGGAGGAGTCTTTAAAGACCCATCTCCCTCCATTCTGGAGGCAAGCCAGCATGTGAATTTGATAGTGGCTTGTATGACGGAAGAGACACAAATACATCGCTTGGTGGTTCTCTCTGCATAATCAGCAAGTACCCCAGGATGGTTCTCTACAAATGGATCCGCTGACAGTAAATCATGTTGGTGTAACAACATTACTACACTAACAAATTTATTCTTGAAAAGCACTTAGTACAATTCATCAAAAACAATTTGAGCGTAACCAAAAAGCAATTAAGATGGCACATTGCTGCCAGATCCTCTAAAGAATCAGAGAAATAAAAAAAAAAAAAATCTCAAAAAATAATTTTGGCCCAGATTCTGTAAACACTTCACTTACATGCATGAGTGTTTGCAGGATTGGGATGTTAAGCCAGATCCCTGTGCCAGACAGACCTCCACTAAAATCAGTGGGGCACTAAATGAGCACAGGAATCTGCCCATCCTGGTCAGCTTGTAGGATTAGTGCCTTAAGGCCTGACCTAAGCAACGCTCCCACTGGCTTCAGTGGTGCAGAATCAGATCGTTGCTTTGTAATTATCATTATTTCTTTCCTTTGGTTACAATAATCCCTGCACCCCCTTCACCTTCTTCTTCCATGCTTGTCTGTGCTGTCTTCTACACTTGGAACTCCCACCCTATCCCCTTGCGCAGGGCACTCATCCTCCAATCATTCAAATCTCTCCTTAAAAAACAAAACCCTGTGAGGCCCATAAACCCTAAATTACTGTATCTCTAAAATATACTGTCACACTAAAACAAACAAATCCACAAAACCTGAGTTACTGTAACACCATCCTCTGGATCTCCCAATACATGTGAGTCCAATCATTGTCTATACAGGAATATAGTCAATGCAGGAGGACTGAAACCTAAGCTTCTGAGTGCAGGGATAGTACTTTCTCTTGTACAGCATAGGGAATAACAACAGTAATCATTTTTGCATCTGCTACAAATGATGAATACATGCGTGTCCTTATAAGACACACAACAGATATCGTTCTATGGCAATTATTTTTAGAGAGAGAGAGAAAGATTCCTATCTCATAGAACTGGAAGGGACCCTGAAAGGTTATTGAGTCCAGTCCAGCCCCCTGCCTTCACTAACAGGACCAAGTACTGATTTTGCCCCAGATCCTTAAGTGGCTCCCTCAAGGATTGAACTCACAACCCTGGGTTTAGCAGGCCAATGCTCAAACCACTGAGCTCTCCCTCCCAGAATATCTCTGGGGACAACTGCAATTTAGTTGACAATGTTTTTGGATAGAAGCTCACAATTGCCATTTAAAATTTTGATAAACAAGATATCAGAATTGAGGCAGGTTTTATATTAGAATTTTGGAATTTAGGTTGAATGTCAGGGAAATTTCTTGGACAGAAAGATCTAGCAGTTTACGGAAGAATCTTCCAAAGGAGTAGAGAAAGCTCATTTGTGACATTTAAAGCACTAAGAAAATATACATTTAAAAGCACTGGAACATCCACCGCAGGGAACAAGCCTACATTGGAAGCGGGGTGGACAACATGCTCCAGATTCCATCACAATTTATCCCTAATGGTCCCATAAGCACAAAAGCCTACATGTGCATTTGCCCTGTGTTGAAAAAACTGGCATTTTAGATCACAGCTACAATGGTATTTCATATCTGGATGTAAAAAGGTTTCAGAGTAGCAGCCGTGTTAGTCTGTATCCGCAAAAAGAACAGGAGTACTTGTGGCAGCTTAGAGACTAACAAATTTATTAGAGCATAAGCTTTCGTGGGCTACAACCCACTTCTTCGTATGCATACGTATAGCCCACGAAAGCTTATGCTCTAATAAATTTGTTAGTCTCTAAGGTGCCACAAGTACTCCTGTTCTTTTTGTGGATGTAAAAAGTAATTTAAGTCCAATTCTGCCACCCTTACTCACGCAGAGTTGGATTTTACTCACAAGCAGTCCTCTGACTTCATTGTGCTATTCAGTGTGAGTATGAGGGACAAAATCTGGCCCTTAAGGCACTATGAATTCAGTAACAATGGTTTTAATAAGTACAGAAATAAAGTCTAAAGAATAAAATATTAATATTATGCACCACCACTAGGAATCCACTTTAAAACTTAAGGCCTATGGGAGTAGCATGCACCAGGCCCACACCCACAGTCTTTCAAAGTGATAACTATAATAATGTATTTATACCTACTATAATTATCTGAACACAGGTAGATATTTAGTATAGTAAAAAATAGTATTTGTAATATCTAATCTAGATCATACCATTGGATCCTACAGTTCTTGTTTCATTTTGGAAGCTTTTAGACCGAGTCCCATACTGCCCTGAAAAATGGCTAGCTTGAGGTGATACTTCATTCCATGCACCATTCTGAGAAGGATGGAGGCTCGCCTGGGAGTCTGCAAGGGCAGTCAGGCGCTGGGCCCATGCTATATCTAAATCCTGGGGTTCTTCCTTCAGTTTTTCTCCTTCTTTGCCAACTCGCTGATAAATTCTTCCAGTGCTGTCATTCAGTAATCTTCTCATCCCTGTAATTTGTTTTTTAATTTCCCGGCTTTCATCTCCTAATGAAAACAGAGCCACAGTTATCACTGTAAATTTGCAAAAATGGTAATGGGTAGAGATTAGTGATTTTAGATGCCAATAAGAGTTTCTAGCTGCTGGACTACAAAACAACAAATAAATAAAAATAAAAGACATACTCGAGTGGTAGTTATGTATTGTGCCCTGCTTTAATACAGCAGTAGTTGGGATATCCATGGTTAAAAAACCCTCTCATCTTGGCTTTCCTAATACTGTTTTTAAAACTCTTACATATACCATACCATGGTTTTTAAAGCTCTTACGTATACCATACAATGGTGTTTGCTGTTTTCTGCTGAAGGAAACAACAATGGGTACAGCTGTTTCAAATACACTATCATTTTATGAGCCTAATCCTATTCAGACATTGACATCAATTGGAGTTTCATCTGAGTTAAAGGGTGCAGGATCAGATTGTAAAGAGAGGAGCCAGATACCTATTAAGGGATAGGCCCAGCTCCCGTTGAAATCAACAACATAGCTCCTATTGACTTTAATTGGAAAAGGATCAGTCCCTTGGTCCTCAGAATTTCATCATAATGGGATACATAGAAATAAATTTAAAAACAGCTAATATCTGTACAACCTTATATAGCCAAACTTCTGGATGCCTTAAAATGCAGATTATATGAGAAAAAAGAAAATATATACAAGAAAAATGTAACTGTTTCAAATAAATTCAGCACATTTAAATAATAACAATTACATACTTAATGCTCTCAGCACCGTTTAAGAATTAATTTTATGTATGAAACTACTGATTGCACAATGAATATATATGTTTTGGGCAGATAGTAGCTATTTTTCTCATTAAAGTAAGCATTACATTTCATTAGTAATAAGGAAATATTCATAACTACTTCTGAAATAAGAAGCTTCTATTTTTTACTGGTAATAGAAAAAAAAATCAAACATCATAAGCAAGAGGAATAATGAAGATCAAGAAACTGATCAAATCAATCCTCCTCTTAGAATACATTTAAGACAGTGCTACTTGGAATCATCTGTTCTTTAGAAAAGATTTCAATTTCCATTCTTACATACCACCCCAAAATAAGACATTTTTTAGGAAAAATAACTGTACAAAACAGATTTTGGGAAGAAATGTATAATGGCTCCAATTCAGCAAGGTCCTTAAACACATGCACAACTTCAGGAATGTGAATAGCCAGTCTCATCAACTTCAATGAGACTATTCATGAAAATTAGGCTGTTGTGATGCCTAAAATACTTGATAACAGTTAGGCAGTTGAGAACACAGCACATCATGTGGACCAACATGGTCTCATTGTTTCCTTGTACTCCCCCGTCTGTATCCATTTGCTGTCTCTTGTCTTACAGATTGTAAGATCTTTGGGGTACGGACTGTCTTCTTGTTGTGTCTGTACAACATATTCTGGGGGGAATTCTGCGCCACTGCACAATGCAGAATTTTGCAGAAATTAATGTTGTGCACGCAGAATTTCCTTTCCCCCACAGAAATGGGCAGCAGTGCTGCTAGCCACCACTAGAGGCTGCTGGACTTGGAAGAGCCCACCTTGCACACAAAGACACTGCTGGGGGGAGGGAGAGGGAGCCAGAGGGTTCCTGGCAGCTGCAGTTCCCAGAGTGCCCTGAGGGAAGGAGAGGACGGCATGCAGGAAACTCTGTGCAAGCCTGAGACTGAGCATCAAGCTGTTTCTCCCTCTTGGATCCCGGGGCTCTGGAGAGGGGAGGGGGACAGGTGTCTGGGCAAGGGGGGCCCCACAGCTGGGCTCTGGGGAGGAGGGGGTTCGGGTGTATTGGTTGGGGGGTAGCAACAGGTGGGCTCTGGGAAGGAGGGGTTGGGGGTCTCTGGTCCGCTAGCTGGGCTTGGAACGTGGCAGAGAAACAGGAACTGGATTGTCATAGGGGTTTCTTTAACTCTCCACTCCTGGGGGAATTTTTGTGTGTGTCTGTATTGTTACAGACGTACTTGCTGATAGGTATTTTGAAATAAATTACCAAAATAATTGACACTGGCATGATTATGGAGTGTTATTTTGACAAATAAAATTTGCAGAATTTTAAAATATTGTGTGCAGAATTTTTAAATTTTTGGCACAGAAATTTGAATTTTTTGGTGCAGATTGCCCCCAGGAGTAACAACACTTAGCGCAATGGGGTCCTGGTCCATGACTGCGGCTCCTAGGTGATACAACAATACAAATAATAGCAGCTATGTGCTTTGGTACTTTGCTGAACTGGAGCCTACTTTTTTTTTTTTTTTTTTTTTTTAAACTAATACACAATATGGGTCTGTAATTGTGCATCCTGCAACCCCAGTGTGCCCATGGGGCCAGCTATGTTGGAGGAGAGCTTCGGTCTTGAGTGGAGAATAAACATGGGAGGACAGCTGCAAAATCTATCTCCAGAGAATCACTGCATCTCCCATCTGACTTAGCTTCAACATTGCCAGGGCTGGCTCTGCTCCACTGTGGAGCTGTGCGTAAAAGTGGCAAAATCTTGCCCTATTTTAATATATCACAAGCATTGTTCAAGAGAAATGCTCATAACCAAGGTGTATGACAAAACATACTTACTATTTCTTGTTCAACTATAACTCTTCTATGCCAAAGCGTAACTAATTTGTAATTTTCAAGTGGCCTATCTTCAAGCTGTCTTAATAAAGCTCAGATACTACTTATTCTGAGGAATGGATGTGCTCTCTTTAAAATAATGTTAAACTGTTTCCTTAATGAGTGAGAATTTGTGTACAGAATTTACAATACTGCTTTGAGAATCATCAAAATACTTCAAATTAAAACAGGTACAAACTGAATTCTCCCCCGACAAATGCATGTGTGCTTCCAGGTGCTAAATATTTAACTGTATTAAGTAACAACAGTGTATTTATAGCAACTTGAATTAATGAAACACCACTGGTAATGTTGTAATGTAATGCCTAAACCCCTACTTCACCAGTATGTTTTCACTATTTTTCTTTATTGTTATACTTTACCTGTATGTAGTATGTTGTCTAAATGCAGGTCATTGTGTACTTTTCATATAGATTAATTTCATGGGCTATCTTTATCACAGTGGTACATAGAACTACCTAATTTTGCTACCCCACGTTGTGAAAAAAATTATATGATTATACTGTAGTAGCTAAGAAATGGTATGTGATCATGAAATGAAAATCTCTACTGAAATACATGTATAGGCTCAAGAGGGAAGAGTTAAAATTACACCTTCATCCTTTGGTTTGGCATTTCCTGACTGAGTGCATAAATTAAACAAATAACCTTAATGTTCCCTTAGCACAGTTTTAACTTCCAATTTTTTATTTTAAATAAAAAGTAGGAAATATTTTAAAAATATAGTCAGTTTTACCTTTTACTTTACACAGCTTCAAAGTTTTGCTGAATTACAAATAATCGCATGAGAGCATTCAAGTTCTTCCATTCAGAACATCATCAGAATGCTGCCTTCCTGGACAAAGGCCAGCAAAACTCAGCTGCCGTATTTGAAGAATTTACACGGACCAATTCAAAGCACTTCAGGGGACCAGGGAGTTTAAAGCACACAACTACACAAATGTGCATGCCCAGTGCATCCTTTCTTACGTGCATCGCTAATGAGCCAGCCAAAACTCTCATACTCAGGCTATATGATTTACAAACACTTGGTCAAAAGAAAGTGAATTTCTCCTGGCACAAAAACATGCAACCCTCCTCTGCAAGGACTATTTCCATACCAAAACACAACTTTCAATCTTCAGCTGTTTCTGCTGTAATCCTCTTCAGACGTCACCAAATTATGGTTTTGAAATACAGGCAATTATGAAGGCCAGTCAGTAGAAAAGGTGGGAATAGGACTGCCAACCTCATGCCTCCCTGCTCTGTGCACATTTCCCTAGATTAAGGAAGTATTTTGGCTGAGAAAATAGAGGCAGGAGGGGGATCCTTTTTATCAAATGATAGGTTTTCCAAAACAACTGAAAAGTTGTCCTGGCTGTTTTGTAGCTATCTGCGATTAGTCATTTCACTTTATAGCTAAATTATGCACATCTGGTATAGCAACATTCCCTCATTGTACACTTTGGCCCCAGTCCTGCCAGCCCCTGAGCCCATGTGGAACCCCAGTGAAGTTAAAAAGGTCCACATGGGTGCAGACATCCATCTCAGCAGAGCAATTTACAGGATCAGGTTCTTAGGGTCAGATCCTCCATCAGTGGGAGTTCTGCTATTGACTTCAATAGGAGCAGGAGATAGCCCTGGATGAGCTTAGCAAAGGGGGGAAAAAGCATCCTTTGCTGTGTGTGCTTGGTATAAGATTTTCAAAAGCTTATAATCAGTCAGATCAAAAACATTTTCCCCTGGAGCAAGGCTACTGTCCTTTCATGCTACATTACAACTATTAAACTATAGCTAGATGTTTCATCTGGAGGGCTGTTCAATGTATAGCTAAATAAATAAGGTTGCATGATTTTTTTAAAATGAAAAGTGTACTTCAAATCCACCCCTCACTAGGAATGCTAGGAACAATTAAGAAAAGGATAGATAATAAGGCCGAAAATACCACATTGCCTCTATATAAATCCATGGTACACCCACATCTTGAATACTGTGTGAAGATGTGGTCGCCCCGTCTCAAAAAAGATATATTTGAATTGGAAAAGGTTCAGAAAAGGGCAACAAAAATGATTAGGGGTATGGAACAGCTTCCATATGAGGAGAGATTAATAAGACTGGGACTTTCAGCTTGGAAAAGAGACGACTAAGGGGGGGATATAATTGAGGTCTATAAAATCATGACTGGTGTGGAGAAAGTAAATAAGGAAGTGTTATTTACTCCTTCTCATAACACAAGAACTAGGGGGTCACCAAATGAAATTAAGAGACAGCAGGTTTAAACCAAACAAAAGGAAGTATTTCTTCATACAACACACAGTCAGTCTGTGGAACTCTTTGCCAGAGGATGTTGTGAAGGCCAAGACATAACAGAGTTCAAAAAAGAACTAGGTAAGTTCATGGAGGATAGGTCCATCAATGGCTATTAGCCAGGATGGGCAAGGATGATGTCCCTAGCCTCTGTTTGCCAAAAGCTGGGAATGGGCGAGAGGGGATGGATCACTTGATGATTACCTGTTCTGTTCATTCCCTCTGGGGCACCTGGCATTGGCCACTGTTGGAAGACAGGATACTGGGCTAGATGAACCTTTGGTCTGACCCAGTAGGGCCGTTCTTATTTGAAAACACAGCTATATATAAGAAACCCTTTTGCAAGTTTAACTATAGTAGCTGCTGACAAAAAAACCATACCTGGATATAATTCTATTAAAACTAACAAGTAACTTCATAGACTTACGTAAAGTCAACTTTTTCTGTATGAATAAATTGTGGAGGATATTATTCCTGGAACAGAATATATTCTTGGAATTACTGAGTAATTTATGCACTGTTCCACCATTCCAAGTACACATTATTTATTTTATCATGACAAAATAAAGTTATTAATCTGCTGACTTCCATTTTAACAATGTGAAATGCTGTAAAATGCACAGACACCTGCATTACTGTACATTTCAGTTCCACTTTATATCAGCCATAAACATCTCTGTTTTGGACACCTCTTCAAAACAAATGCACACAGCATACTGTATGTGGCATTCGATTTTATGAAACTATAAAAGTTCTTCACTGTTAATTACACAGACAAATGTCTCATCACACATTTGGCTACCAGGATAATAATTAGTTTTCCACATTAACCTTTCAAAGACAGAGCATGAATTTCAAGTCAAAAGCACTGTAAAAAGACTCAGCTAGGAGGTACCTTACATTATACTTTAACATTTTTGTGAAGATAATAAAATACAAAGACTGAAGAAAACAAATTATGTATGCAATCAACATTTTAAAAGCCATTGTGTCTATATGTAACAGTATTGTCTGCATGATACAGTGGTACAATCCTCTCAAGGACTTGCATGCTCATCTCTGAGCTAACATTTTTGTGCTAAAACAGACATGCTGTCAGTATCTGCCAGACAGTTATGGGGCTTTACTGATTCAAACATCAGACCCAGAGCCTGAGCCTGACAACTTTTACTCATGAATTTAATGGGACTATTCAGGATCAGAGATACTGGATTTGCTTTCAAATCCAACTCTCACTGATGTCAACTGAAAGACTCATATTGACTTCACTGGGAGGTGGATCAGGCCTTTAATGAGGGGATGTCTTGAGTATCTTCAAGTCTTGCTGAAGTCCATGGGTTAAGACACAGCTCTTTTCTGCAGAGGCTCAGAGCCTCTCAAGATCAGACTCTAGATAAGACAGGAGTGGAAATGTAAAAGGAAGAGTACACGGCCACAAAAATGATGAGCGGCTCAGTGATAACTAGTTCTATCAAGCTGTAGTTAAAGCAGACTATATATTACATCTCTGTTTTCTTTACACATTTTTGACTGTTGATTTAATTCAATTTTGCGATGGCAGTATTAGCAGCCAGGCTACAGAGGTGAAAGGACATTACATTAAGACATTACATTAATCCTCTGTCCCACCCAGGGCAGAAGCAACACCAAACAAATAGCAGCTTCCTGGAAATTGAATTTCTGTTATCCAGATGTCAAAGATGTAATACCCCAATTACACAAACTATTGCCAGTGAAGCATGCTAGTGAATATGCAATGTAAATGGGGTGAACAGAGAGCTGCAAAACTGCCCACTCAGCATCTGGCTCTGACAGTGAGTGATAATTAGCACTCTGTGTAGACTCTAATAAACATTTATGTCTGAAACTACAACTTTTAGCAATGTTAATAAAGGATATATTGGCAATTTGTAAAATAAAAAGGTCTTGAAGAGACTGTCATATTAAACAATGGCATACAGCTCTTTGCACTGCCCCCTAATTGCAAATGGCTAAACTGTGTTGCTCATAAATTAATTGACACAAGAACATACCTAAAAAAACTGATTGTGTTTCTTTGGTCTCCCCATTAACATCATTGCTGTAGTCAGAGATCTTATATACCTCATGATGATAATCTGGAATGAAAAAGGATAAAAAAAATTAGAGCTCAAGTGATCTGGAAAAAATGAATGCTGAACACACTGCTACAGCTTTACTACATCAATTATCAATATATCTGCAGTTTATTCCATGTACATCAAATTAACCACAGAAAATGTGCTCTGTATCAGCACTTCCTAAAAAACTTTGCTCACACTGAAGAGAACTAGGGTGACCAGTCAGCAAATGTGAAAAATCGGGACGGGGGTGGGGGGTAATAGGAGCCTATATAAGAAAAAGACCCAAAAGTCGGGACTGTCCCTATAAAATCGGGACATCTGGTCACCCTAAAGAGAACTGAAATATTTCACAGATTTTTGGGACAAGTTATGCCTGGCGTAAATTACTATGTTCATTTTCACACTAAATTATTTCACCAGATGCCTATTATCTGGATTCTTGCCTTACAGATGGAATGCAAATATATAACGTAAATGAAAACGTTACCCTCTTATAGGCCCAGGGAAACTTTCACACTACCTCAAAACAAAATTAGTGATATACATTATGGGATAAATTTTTAGCTCTGTGGCCTGATCCTGTGCCGCTGATGTCATTTGGCCATTGAATTCCTATGGGACCAGATTTGGGCGCTATATATGGATATTGACTCGTGGCAATTGATTTCCACGGCCATCATAAAAATATTGATTTTCTATTTCAAATGAAATGCAACTTGGATAAACAGTCTGAGCTCTGACCACGGGTGTGCATTTAGTGAAAACAACTACACTCTCTACATGCACACAAGAAGAGAGTAGCATTTACAACAGGGAATACTGGGAGACAGCACGCCAGGATTCTATTTCTGACTCTGCTACTGACACACCTGACAGTGACCGTGACCTTGTGACTGTGTGACCTTGGGAAAATCACTTTGGACTGAATAATAAGGTACTAAGCAGCTCTTGTGAAATGTTGCACACATTCAATTCTACTGACTTTAATGAGACTTGAGCATGTTCAGCACCTCACCAGGACTGGGTTCTCGAATTCCATGCGTCTCAGTTTCTCCCTCTGTAAAGTGTTTTTATAAGATTCACTTGCTTCATAAAGGTGTTGTGAGGCTTCCTTAATTAATGTGTGGGAAAGTGCTTTGAGATATTCGGAAACATGGCACAACAGAAGCGAGGAATATTATGTTCACTCCTTTTATGAGAAAGGCACCTGCCTCTCTGACAAAATAATCAGGTCCAGAATGTAAAGATCCCCTAATATACGGACTTTATTGTTACTTATTTTGTAAAGCACTACTAGTGTGACTAACTCAAAAAAAAAAAAAAAAAAGACACTCTCCAGCAGCAAACCAAAATCACACATAATACAGCAACATGACAGACAGACAGAAGGGCTGTAAGGGAAGGATGAGGACGGTGAACATAAGGAAGAAAAGGTGAAGAAGTGAGTGATGATAGGTAAGTCAGAAGAAATGAGATTTGGTTTTGGGTTTTTTGGATGGGGCAGATAGATGGATGAAGGAGAATTAAGTTGCACAGCACATGGGACTAAAGATAAAGTTCCAGGCACAGAGGTGGGAAAAGCTAAGTCTCTTTTGTGAGAATTATAAAAAAGAGGATTTACCAGAATCTGATACATTATTCATTTTTTCCTATATTTTGATACCTCCTGGTGAAGATTGTCAAAATCTGGGCAAAAATGTGTAATAATGCTTAAGAACTATAGTGAGGGGCAGATTCATAATGCTTAGAGAAACAGATTGCATGCTGTCTCTCTAAAATTTTTCCTGTCTCCAGTTAGATATGGTACTCTTCACTGTTTCTTAACTGTTCTATGACCGTTTCTGCATTTCACCCAGAGGTGGCTGCATTGGAGGTATACACAATTTTATGTATACAGTAGTCTGAATTAGTTCAATATGATGATAAAGTTCTTTGACAGGTTTCAGAGTAGCAGCCGTGTTAGTCTGTATCCGCAAAAAGAACAGGAGTACTTGTGGCACCTTAGAGACTAACAAATTTATTAGAGCATAAGCTTTCGTGGGCTACAGCCCACTTCTTCAGATGCATATAGAATGGAACATATATTGAGGAGATATATATACACACATACAGAGAGCATGAACAGGTGGGAGTTGTCTTTGAGATTTCTTGGAATGAAAGAGGCTACAGTATACAGTAAACGTGACAATAGTTTACATAATATAAGTCAATATAACAGTGGGTGTCTCCCTTAGTCCTTTCTTCTACCTGCGATGTCATAGTCCAGGGCCTATGAAATCCCTATCAATTTCCTCACAGTAAACACTAAACTATGACACTACTGAATGACCCAAGCAGGAAGCACCGGCTGGGTAGCAGGGAGACACCTATTTATACATAATTATCTTGGTAATCAACTTGCATAGGAAATGGGGGGGGGGGAGGGTAACATGAAAGCTGAATCTTACTTTGTTAAAATACAATTTTTATCTTCTCCATTCTCCCAGAATCAAAATACAACTTTCTCAGAAATTGTGTTTAGTGTGGCTGGTCTCTTTAAATTTCTATAACCAGAAGGGTTCTCAGACAAACCAAAAATAGCTAAGAATTCAATAGTGAAAATTGGTTATCTATGATTTAAAGTTAAAAGTATTATTCAAAAAATTATCAATCTACATTACAAATGACACCTTAAGACTGAATGTTTGTCAAATATTAATTTACTTTTGACTATTTGTGTTATTCTTCACTTCTTACAGTTTATTCAACTTGGAAATACAAACAACTAATCAGTTTCATTTTCAGATCCTCATACTCTAGCACAATTCGGCAATGCTTATATTATAAGCAATGCAAGAGAATATAATTGTTAAAAAAAAAAAACCTGTTTCCTTTGGAACGTTAAACCCCAGATATGGCCAGCAGAAATGTGTTTGCAAATGTTTGTTTTTACAAAACCTACGGTAGTTTTTTGGCCAATTTTGACCTGACCGTATTCCTTTAGATTAAAAAAAAAGTTATGTCCAATGCTCAAGATTCTACAGTACTGTAATGTTAAAATTAAAACATTTAATTGTTCAATGTTTCCTCAAAGTGAGGTTATTTTCATTTTTAAATTCCTTTGCTTCCCGTTTGTTTTAATCTAACGTTGACTGAAGAGGGATGCCTAAATATACTAAGTGCAAAACCTTCACATTAAAAAAAAAAAGGGTGACATTACACCAAAGAAGTCACTTGCCTTGAACTTAACATGCAGGACACACACAGCATTCCAGGGAGATATTTCAGTTCAATACTTTAAAACACGGAAGTCAAATCAATGAGAGTAAAAGATCTAATCAGCTGGAGTAGCAGTACATACCCCCACCAAAATAAAACGCTAAGGCTGTAAAGTCCACCTGTGAAAATGACCACCAGCGACTCTATCTTATTTTTAAAAAGATCGAAATAGAGGTCTGTTTTTTTCCCCGACATAAATCCAAGTATTTTCTTAACCATCCCTTTTAAAACACCCTCTTCTTTTCGTAAAGCAAACACACACCGAGCGAACAAGTTACATGCCAGGAATTCTTCCTTACCCATGTACAATTAATTAGCTGCGTTGATTTTTTTTTAAAGCAACCTCTATTAGGGTTTTCTTTGAAATACGTGTATGTACGCAATCAACAGGAAAGAAAAAAACCCTCCACAGGAGTTGAATACCGAAAGGGTTCTCTGTTCCCCAAGTACCATTATTTTGATAATTTCCTGACTCGCTTTTTTTGTTTGACTGGGTTTACAAGGAAATTGAAATCCAACTTTATTTTGGATAACATCTGCCTTGAAAACCATGCCCTCGCTGGGGAAGAGGGGTTTCAGAACAAATCCAAGGAGTTAAATAATAAACAACAGAAGGCAGAAAGACACTGAAGGAGACAGAGGGAAGGGAGAAGCACACATTTCATAACATCCTGCTCTTCTCCTTTGAGACACGTTGAGCCGAAAGTCCTTTTGAGAGACAAATACGCAAAAAGTCACGCACCAAGCCGCCCCCCACCAGCACCGCTTTACCTTGGTTGATCAGTTTAAAGCTTTGGGATTTCCTGCTCCTCTTCCTCTCAGTAAACTCCATGGTGTGGGCAGAAGGCAGGAGGAGGAAGAAAGGAAGGAGAAAGGGGATGGCACAGAGCGAGTTGGAGGCTGAACAGCCACCCAGCCGCAGGACCAAGGTCCGTCCCTTTAATCAGCAAAAATAAACCGGGGCTGGGAGATTTCAGTTCCAACTGCGGATCGGCGGCGATCTGGGGCAAGTTGGCTCCGGGCTCCCTCCTTCCCCCCGGATCCAACCCCAAACTTTGCGGGGGGCTGCTCGCCCGGCGCAGGGGAAGCCCTCGCTGTGTGCGGGGAGCCGGCCGGGCCGCCTCCGGGGAGCCACCGCCGCCGCCAAGGGAAGCGCTCCGCGGCTGGCGTGTGTCGCTACCTCAGCGGCGCCTGGGACCCCGCTGCCACCTGCTGGGGGAAGCCTGCGCGCACCACAGCGCGCCCCGTGGTGGCTGAGGGAGCCTGGCCCGCAGGCCGCCACCCCGAGGCCGGCCCGCAGCCCCACGCCACGCCGAGGCGGCGGCGGTGGCAGCGGGCCCCAAGGGAGCTGGGAGGGGGCTGGGGGAGGAGCAGGACAGCGGTTTCAGCCTCATGGTCGTGAATGAAGAGGACGGCGAGGTGCTTCTGCGCCTCCCCCTCCTCTGCCGGCCCGGAGGGGGGTGGATCGGGGTCTGGTTATCGGAGGGGGAGGGGGACGCAGGGGCGGCGCCATTTTGTGCCCCCGTCCCCAGTGCAGTCCCCTCACGCGCACGGGCTGGATCCCGCCAGTGCCTCCTCGAGCCGCGGGCGCTCCCGGACTGAGGCCCGGGCTGGGGGCCCCGCAGGGCGCTTGGGGGCGAGCCAGCTCCTCTGGTCATCCCGAACTGGGTGGCATCGAGGCAGGCGGGTGGCATTGCCCCCCAGTCCCCCAGGGGCGGCATTCCCCCAGCCGGGCCTGGAGCGAGCCAGGGCCACTTCTCCCCACTGCAGGGGGGGCTGCTTGCTGGGCACACCTGGGGCCAAATCCCACCCTCCTGCCCTGCCAACTTTGCTCGGGAGAGGGGGAGCGATGGCCTGCAGTGGAGCTCCCAAGGGGGTTGGGCCCAGAGAGGAAGAGGCAGACTCTGCTCTCCAGCAGCCTACACTGGGGGTCAGATCCTGCCTCCCACCAGCAGCTCTCCCCCATGCCTGGGGCTCTGCTCAGGGAAGGATGTGTCATGTAAGCAAAGGTCAGGCCCTGGATCAGACAAAGGCAGCACCTTTCAGACTAGCAGCATACTTGACACCGGGCTTCAATTAAAAGCAAAGAAAAAAGGTGGATGATTCTGCCTGATTTTTGTTTAGGCCTGGTCTGCGCGCAGTGTTTGTACCAGAACAACTGTTTCGGTTAGGGGTGGGATTTTTAACCAGAATAGTTATACTGCTACCAGTCCTAGTGTGGATACAACTATGCCAGTATAGAGGTGCCTTATGCTGACATAGCTGGATCCACACTGGGGGTTAAACCACTTTTAAGTGCATTAGGCCTGGTTTACACTACAGGGTTAGGTTGACGTAAGCTGCCTTGCGTCAAACTAGCTGTGGAAGTGTTCTTCACTTAAATTTGGCTTCTGCTGATGTAAAGGCCTCTCTACACCCATTTATCAAAGGGGTGGCCGTGTTAGTCTGTATCCACAAAAACAACGAGGAGTCATGTGGCACCTTAAAGACTAACAGATTTATTTGGGCATAAGCTTTCGTGGGTAAAAAAGCCACTTCTTCAGATGCATGGAGTGAAAATTACAGATGCAGGCATACATATACTGACACATGAAGAGAAGGGAGTTACCTTACAAGTGGAGAACCAGTGGAGATCCACTTCCTGGACACTAAAGTGCAAATAAGTAATGGTCACATAAACACCCTATACCGGAAACCTACTGACCGCTATACTTACCTACATACCTCCAGCTTCCATCCAGGAAAACATCACTCTATCCATTGTCTACATCCAAGCCCTTAGATACAACCAACTTGCTCCAATCCCTCAGACAGAGACAAACACCTACAAGATCTTTATCAAGCATTCTTAAAACTGATGAGGAAGTGAGGAAACAGATTGACAGAGCGAGACGGGTACCCAGAAGTCACCTACTACAGGACAGGCCCAACAAGGAAAATAACAGAATATCACCGGCCATCACGTACAGCCCCCAGTTAAAACATCTCCAGCACATCATCAACGATCTAACCTATCCTGGAAAATGATCCCTCACTCTCACAGACCGTTAGAGGCAGGCCAGTCCTCGCTTACAGACAGCCCTCAACCTGAAGCAAATACTCAGCAGCAACTACACACCACAGAAACACTAACCCAGGAACCAATCCCTGTAACAAACCCTGTTGCCTACGCTGCCCCCATATCTACTCTAGCAACACCATCAGAGGACCCAACCACATGAGCCACCTCATCAGGGGCTCATTCACCTACACATCTACTAATGTGATATATGCCATCATGTGCCAGCAATGCCCCTCTGCCATGTACATTGGCCAAACCAGACAGTCTCTATGTAAAAGAATAAATGGACACAAATCAGACATCAGGAATGGTAACATACAAAAGCCAGAAGGAGAACACTTCAGTCTCCCTGGACATTCTATAACTGATTTAAAAGTAGCCATACTTCAACAAAAAAACTTCAAAAACAGACTTCAAAGAGAAACTGCAGAGCTACAATTCATTTGCAAATTTAACACCATTAATTTGGGCTTGAAGAGGGACTGGGAGTGGCTGGCTCACCACAAAAACAATTTTCCCTCTCTTGGTATCAACACCTCCTCATCAGTTATTGAGAGTGGACCATATCCACCCTGATAGAATTGCCCTGTCAACACTGTTTCTCCACCTGTAAGGTAACTCCCTTCTCTTCATGTGCCAGTATATTTATGCTGCATCTGTAATTTTCACTCCATGCATCTGAAGAAGTGGGCGGTTTTTCCCACGAAAGCTTATGCCCAAATAAATCTGTCTTTAAGGTGCCACCGGACTTCTAGTTGTTTTTACACCCATTTAGTAACAGCACCTTCCGGAGCGGCATACAGACACAGTTGATGTGTCACAGAGTCATCTGGGTGATGCTCTGGAACTACTCCCTAAGAAGCCAGTCAGGACTCTGGGGGAGCATGCCTCCTCTCTCTGAGCATACTGTCTCCAGGGCAAGAAGCTTACACAGCTTCGACCTTCCTGGGTCTGGCCTTGCATCCCCTTCCACACCGTGCGCTTCCCGCAGCAAGTCCGCCCAGGCGGGCCTCCTGGGGAAGGCAGAGGGCCCTGCACCTCAACTCCGCAGTCAGCAGTGACTCTCAGCCAGCCTGTAAAACAGAAGGTTTATTAGTCGACAGGAACACAGCGTAGGGCAGAACTTGTTAGTACAGAAATTAGTGACTTTCAACCAAGTCCATCTTGGGGGGAGTGGAGCCCAGAGCCAGTGCTCTGGCCCTCCTCCTGTGTCCCAAGCGAGCTGAGACTGACTTGCTTCCAGCTGCCTGGCCCCTGCCCTGCCCGTTGCTCCTCCTCTGGCCTTTGTCTCTCTTCCCGGGCCAGAGTCACCTGGTCACATTCCCCTCCTGGATCTCAGGTTACGAAGGGGCAGCCATAGCATCCCTGCAGCAGCTGGAGCAGCCTCTGCAAAAGTCACACACAGCATTCATGCAAAACAGTAAGACTCACATACAACATAACAAGGGAAAATCCCTACTTCGTCACATGATGTAATTATGTCAACACGTTGCTTATGATGACTGTTACTGGCTTTCAGGAGCCGTCCCACAATGCCCCACACTGACAGTACAATCAATACAAACATTCTTGCTGAGGACACGCATTGTTGACCAGGGCTGGCTCTAACTTTTTTGCTGCCCCAAGCAGCAAAAAAA